CTTAATTTAACCCGTCTACGAATAAGAAGCATATAACAGCACAATTGTTATCGTTAAATTATTAGGTTTCCAACAGTAGAAGTTCTTTACAAACGAATAGAATATACTATAAGCCATTTTAAAAACTTTAAATCTTTAATTTACATTAAAAGCCATAAAGTTTTCCATTCTTTTTTCCAGGGGCAACTTTCCAGAAACAAATGTAGTGGGCAGACATTTGTACAGTTTATACGGCGATATGTTCCACTTATTTTTCTTTTATTATCGCAATATCATTTCGCATTATTTGAACTTCACCAACTTAATCGCCCTAAAGTTGGTCACTGTAAAATACTTTAAACTAAGGATAGAATTATTTTTTGCTACACCTTTATATTTTGTTTATTTCGATTCCGAAAATCAAACGTACAATTTGTGAATGATAAATGACAAAAGCAAAATAAGCACTCGATTATATTATTAAGGTTAGATTCTTTCTTAATAAGAAATTTAACGCTGTAAAGCGTCTAATACAATTTGGCGGTAAGAAATGAAAACAATAATATTACATTTGTAAAATTGACGCCACCTCGGCCACAAAAAAAGTTGCTTTCATTCTCAAAAAAAAAAAAAAACAGCTCCACATCGTAGCTAAAATGTCAAGCTCACAAAAATCTCAAAAATATAATATAATATTTTATTTGATCAAACTAACACACTCTACAATAATTACTAATAACATTATTTCTTAATTAATTATTATCGTTAACAATATACATCACGCACATATAACTTGGTACCTATATTATGTATTTATCCATTAGTATAATTACGTATAACATGAAACTCTACTCGTTATTTTATATCATTATAAAAACAACAGAAATAAATTACTATTGGACTTATCAGGTATTTAATAGAAATGTTTTATGATTCTTAAATGAACAGAAAAGAAAGGAATTTTATCAAGAACTATAACAGCAGGATTGCATTTATAAAATATAAAGTTGAAACGTTATTTCAAAAACGTCAGCCATTGTTTTTACAAAAAATGAAGTTATACGTATTATTTGTAAAAACTACATTGTCAAACTCAAATTCGACCGTAAGAAATTGGAAACATTGCAAAAACTAAGTGTAAACTAAACAATTAAAATATGTAAGTCAGGCTAACTTAACCTCGCTGTTAATGTAAAAGCTAAGTTGTTCAAGTTTTGTCGTTTTTAAAATGAACGATTCAGCTAAAACCACACATTTTTCAACGTAAGTTTTCCCCACATTACATCGGTTGCTTATTGTATTCTATTTAATATATTATTATTATAAGTAAATACTTTTTTATAGTGATATCGATTTTTATACTTGACGTAATAATTAGTTTTAATTCTGTAAGTTGTAACTCATGGTTATTAAAATATATTAATGAAACATATATATTTAATATTCATCTCAGTTTAATTTAATAAAACCTAAAATTATAAATTTTCATGGATTAACTTATTTTTCGCAACTATTTTGTCTTTATAAAAATCTATAATAATAACTATAAGAATATGTCTTGCATTATAATATAATAATGCAATATGTTATTAATATTATACACTATACTCGTACACTCGTAAAATAGATTAATAACCGCGGGCGTTTTAATAGAATCGCTATTCTCTGAAATTTTCTTTCTCGGAAACTTTTCATTAATTTAACCTCCTTTCCGCTTTCTCTGGACGTATGAACTATATACAGTTTCATAACGATAAACAAGTTCAAAACACAGCACGACAACGGTAATCCATTGAAAAAGTTCATTAATACAAAAATGGACGTCATTGTGAAACCTGATTAAGTTTTTTTTATGGCGTGGTAATGTTGTTAAAAAAAATGACATCTTATTCATAATTATACGTAAAACAATTCAATTCAATAAATTGTTAAGCATAATTGAATAAGGTAGGTTGGTGATTATAATTTATGTGATATCTAAGCCATATTTATATTTTTTTGTAATATGAATAATGTTGTACAATTATTATTTATACAAAATTATGGATATTTTATTTACAAATATATATGTTGAAAACAATGAAATAGAAATATTTGTTTTGGATACCTAAATCTATTAAGTCATTAATTAACATTTATTTAGTTTAATATATAATTACCAACGTTAAAAACAATTCAGATTATTTAAGGTATTTAAATTCAGACAACTAAATCAAATTAGTTTTAATAAAACAATAATATAATATAATTTTCATTTTGCCAAAAATTGTATGATAGACTTCAAAGACTAATATGAGATAGTTTATAGATAAAAACTCATATATAAAAAAATTGAAACAAATGATAAACTGATAGTTACGAATAATTCGCACAATGATGTGATGCGTGCCATATACATTTGAATGTTGTTAAAAAATATTCCAAATAATTGTTGAAACTTAAATACTACATTTTTAAATACAGTTTTTCCAAATTTCTCAACCTAATTTGTATTCAATATAACGAATTTTATAGAAAATTTGAGTCATACATTTTTTAAATATTCGAGTTATTGTAAACTTAAGTTAAAAACAAAAAAGAATTTTTATAAGTAACAAATAATATTACGCGTTTATTTTCATATTGTTCCCATATAAAAATAAAAAATAACTCTCCCATCTATCTACAAGAGCTAAGAGCTTCTATATCTATACGATTTTTGATCAATGGAAAAACTTAACGAAATTTTGAACCATGAGAAAGAATCAAATCATATTTCCAACAGACCAAATTATTATGTCTCTTTATAACCTTGAAAATATTTATGGGGAGTGGTTTCTATCGAAATCGTCTTGACATAAGATGCTATCACAAAATTAGTTACGCCATAATAACACAATTTTATCAATAACATAATATTTTTGTAGGGGTCAGGAGAAAAATAAAGACATTAATTTGTAATTATTATTTGGAAGATCTGTTCTATGTACGAGATAAACACCACTGTTGTCAGTTAGGCAACACTGACGAAATTTGTATAAAAACAACATACCTCTATGGGCTCCATCCATATCATACTGAATCGAACATAAATGGATCCTTTGGCTTATTAAACAACAAAATATCTACATAAAATACATTAATATATTTTTGAATATATAATTTATTTATTGTTTATTTATTTATAAAATACCACGTTTTTTTTTCAAGGTTAATGGAATATGAACTTTTGGTATTTTTAAATATTACCCTACACATTTTATTTGAAGACCAAAATCAGATTTGCAAGTAAGATTTAAAGAATAAAAATCAAATCTGGTCCATATAAAAGCCTACCTAATTCAAAATAAAACTTGCCCTGGGTCTTGCTATTTGTTCTCCAACAATATGAAGTGTAACGGAATAACGTGAACGAAAAATGAAAAGGTATACCTATTGTATGCACTTAATGAATTGTAGCTAGGAACAATGAGAATACTGATTATATGTTTATTCAGACAAGAAAGCATTTGTAAAATAGTAAATACCTAAGTATATACTTATTTTTTGAGTTGTAAAATTAGTTTTGACAACGCCAATCCAGAACCCAGTAGTCATAGTACTTACAAAATCTACAGAAATATTATTGAATAGTCATCAAATAGAGTATTCAGGGGCCAAAAGACCTTGAGTAAAAATTAATTTTATTTGTTATACAATCAGACCTTGAAGTGCCTAATTATATCTATCATGATATTTTATATTCAAAGAAAATTTGTATAGAACTTAGTTATTTTCTTTTGATGTAAGATATCATCATCGTGGAAACCTAAGAAATACATTGTAGATAAACAAAAATAAAATGTACATTTACTAATTGAACACTCAAATATGATATTTCAGAACTGAATAAATTATAAAACCATCTATCAACTATTTTAATTATTCAACATTATATGTTAAGTGTTAAGTCAAGATACACTGATAATAATTTGTACTTAGGTAATACATGTTACTTTTAAATATATTTTACATAAAAGCATTACACGGTTATAGTAAATTTACTTAAAGAGATTCTTTTTTTTTTTTTGTAATTTTAATATAAATAACTTGACAAAGTAGGTTCGCATTTGTTATTTCAGTAAAATAATTGTTATATAAACAAATCTGTGGTTATAGCAAATAATGTTTCTTTACTTACAAATAAAACATTTACTCAAGACTTAATATAACATAGCATTTTCTTAATATTAAAACTAATGTTTTGAAAACATGTTATTAATGACTCAATAATACAACAAATGATTTGTCATACATTACGCTTTCTTATATAAACAAATGGTTAATTTTGAGTATCTATGTAACAAAGTTTACCTAATATAAAGGGACTGTTCAGTACAGAGTACTATACTAAAATGTATTAAAGCCAACATCATATTTTGATAGTTAAAATATTACAATAATGTAAAATGTATATATAGGGATGGTCAATCTAGTGTTTAGATTCAGGAAGGAATACAAGTTTAATTAGAGATTTTTAATGACCAAAACTGCAATGTCTTTGGATGGATTCCTTTATCGGGCAAATGTTTAAATTCTGACTACAGTTGTACGTCAAGTGCCTGGTTTATGCGATGTTAAGTATTCATCATTACACATTAGTACTTGTCACTTGTACTAATATCTCTCATGTAAACAGGTAAAGTTACAGTATTTTAATCGTTACAGGTACAAATAGTACTAAGTATTAGTAAAACCTGGAGTATGAGTGAACTCTGTTTTATTTACTAAAAACAAGTATCTACCCCCTATGCTATTGACAAGTACTAAGCAATGTGTAAACCAGACATAATGTATGGAAGACTGGACCAAGACCTAATCCAACGTTTTGATGGCAATAAACCGCCGACTCGTTAAGATGCTGGTGCATTAACAATTTAAGATGCGTTAGTCGTTACCCTTATAGACTGTTTGGATAGAAGAGAATAACGTAATATACTCAGCACGGTGAAACCGGCGGTGTTCGGGGGTGAGTTTTAAGTAAACCGAAAATTAGACCTTACTTGTTTGTCATCCGTCGTAAAGGCGAAGCTGACGATTGTCGGACGTCGACGACAGCTTGCTCTGCTCGCGATCGTGTACATGCCACGAAAACGTCGACGGGTATGGTAAAGTACGAGTGATTTTATTGTATTTAATAATTTTCAAAAACAAAAACAAATTACTAACACTACAGACAGACGTGGGACGGCATTAGCGACGAACGAACGACACGAGTGACGAGAATGATAACGCTATCACCGACTGTTTGGAGCGCGCGATCGAGGAGGAAACCAATGCCGGCGGTGCGGATGACTCGAACACCGTCCCGACCCGCGCCGAAGCGCCCCAAGCGGACAGTCGGCGTACATGACCCAATAAACACTAGACTGCAACCCCCCAAGACCTTCACGGCCATTCAATAACAATAATAATTGATAACGATAATACTGTGCGTTGATAAAAAAAACGAATAGTTCTGAGATTGCGGACAAAATTATTTTGTTTTTAATTAATCCACGTATAACACAGGTAGTCAGGCTTCAGGGTGTAGGGTACCTACACGAGGCGTCTCCTGCATATAAATAAATAATTTGTGTAAATGTTAAACAAATCGTTTTAAATTGCAAACAAGATAAAATGATAGATACAAGTAATAAGCTTAAAAAATATTAATAAGTAAATGTAGTGAAACATTTTTCAATTGTCTGTGAAAATCCGGGAAAAATCTGACATGCCGACGCTAAATTAATATATAAAATAATACATGTATAATGTGTAGATGTAACAACGTCGTTAACAGAAGCGGATTCTAAATTAATATCCGCCCCTAGGCAAATTAATAATTATAATTGCCGCCTCACAGTAAATATAAAACATTCAAAATAAATTATATTCAATTGTAAAAATTTGAAATGAGTCGGAAAAAAATAAATTGCACCACCCTAATTTATGTTGCCAGCGACCTGCCTATTTATGCCACGCTGGTTATTAGGTTTTCAAACCAAGTTTTATTTCAAATGTACAAATAATCTAATAAAAATACATAAAACTAAATAAAGAAAAAAGTTTTCACTCATTATAAGATAGAAACTGTTTTGTTATATTAAAATAAAAATTAATTTTGCCACTGGGCAAAAATAAGCAGATGATTTTTTTAGTGTTATAAAGCCGTACAACTTGTTTACCCCGCTGTAATTTCCCTAAACAATTTTAATGAAAAACGAAAAGCGTATTAGTACATAGGTACCTACTAATAGGTATGTTGTGTAAGGTCTATTATAATAATATTACATTACACGCATCACAAATAATATTATATTATACTAAAAGTACTAATTTTTTTTTCTATAACCTATGCAAAATACTTGGTAAAAGGTACGAGGACCCTAAAAAGCGTTAGTTTTTGTCTGTTTCTTATCGTTTTAAAAAATTAATTTTGGGTAATTTCGTCCAACTAAAACCGCAGTACGTACAACCCACTGTGCGATAGATAGGTACGCTATACATAAATTATTTAAATTTCTTTCAAACCGTATCGAAAATAAAAAAAACCCAAATTATAGGCTATAGCTGCGATTTCGATGCGTCAACGTGTCAAAATTCGTTTCGGCTATTACAAAACGTACACGCCGATTGAGACAACATAATACCTATTAGATTATATTTTTATTTCTCAAGATTATCGCGAAACTATAAACATCACGTCAATGTTTTTTTAGTCGATCAAGAAACGGTTTTGGTTTTTTAACGCTATAATTTGTTTTTCCCAAACTATTAAACAACATTTATTATTATTGTAATCGTTAACTAAAAGCTGTTTATAATTTAACAAAACTATAGGCTATGATATTGTGTATTTTATTATTATTACAATAGATCCTAGTTCGTTTACATTGGAATTAATAACCGTCTTCGCATCCCGCAATAAAAATAAATAAGTAAATTGAGTACACATTCTTCTGAGTTCAAACGACCACGGTACTAATTCATAGCGGTAACCAAACCTTTTGAACCCTTTCATGAATCATTCGTTAGTGAAGAATACAATTTTATAATAGCTATAATATATTATAAATAATAATAAAGATATTCTCATTTAGTTACAAGTAATAACGGTATTGGATGGCACGAGTGATTACATCTCATAGAACAAATTAATACGTTCAAAAGTGCCACAATTTATAAAACTAAATTGTTCCAATAATATTAGTATGAAAACAAGCTATACATTTTGGACGTTATTATTAGGAGAGTTTTTAGTACTAAACATATAGTACAAGTACACTGTATACACTGCTCTTAGTTAAAATCAAAATTCAATATTTTTATTTTGCATTTAAAAAATAATAATATTCACATAGTAATAATTATAGTTCTGTGACTAGTTTCAAATTTAGAACATAAAAAACGTTTAAAAATAATTTGTAGAAATAGTGTACTTCAAAACATTCAAAACAATATGTTGAAGTTTTATTAAAACTTGTTTTTTACAATTTTAGAAGTGATCTAGTAAAAAAACTAGACGTGCTAATTATCTACAGATTTTCATGTTTATCTATTAATCACGTATATCATATTATATATTGCAGCATATTCATATTATAAATTGTATGTATTAGCTTCGATGCGGAGCTGTTTATTTTTGTTGTTGTTGTTAAAAATGTCATGATAAGCAAGTTTTCCAATAACGCAGTGTTTTATATTCAATTTGAATACCTAAACCCGTAAGTAACTTGCATAATAATATGTAACTTGTTTTGACAAGTTTCACATAATATAGCAAAAGTGACAATATTATGTTAACGGTATAGTAATAATTAATATTATATGCATAATGAACGCGTCATTATTGTATTCATTCATATCAAAATTAAGTTGCCGGAGTGTCAAAGTAAAATTAAACCTTAAAAGAAAATGCTATGAAAAAAAAGTTGAATACAACATGTTAATCCAGTGTGTTAATATTAGAACTATCGGATCAACTGTATAGTATTATTAGTAATTACCATGAATATTATTTAATAACATTATTTGAATCACTGAACCAGATATTTTTCGGTTAAAGACGGTTAGTGTTTATTAATCCGCCAAAATATATATGCTAATATTTTAACGACCCAAAAAATCGCTCAAACTCAAACAAAATTAATAATATTACTGTCTCGAAACACTTTTCGCGCCGGGTCAACAATGTTTAAATTATTTTTGTAATCATGTCATTCATACTTATATAAATTACCACTTTTGTCAGAATAATTTGCGGTAGCCAGCTGTTGAGTGCAGAGTGCTGTTGCTGTGAAAGGTTCATGCGTTTATTTTTTGCAATTCACATAATTTTGGCTGGACGACTATGGTATAACATCTGTGAGCGACAATTACAGTAATAAATATTGAAATAAATATAAGTTTTATTTGAATGGGAATTACACATTAACAATAGCCATATGTGAAATTTATAAAAAAAAATTATATTATTAAAACAATATTTAGAAGACACTTAAGAGAACATAAATAATTATTAGTAACAATTATTAGTTTTTTATTGGTTATCTTATACTACAGAAAATACTACCACTATTTAACTTTGTTATAAGCTGATGTTAGTCTCGTGTCACAGAATCAATCAATGAATCAATAAAAAAATATTGCAAGAACATTTTTGGCTAAAATATAAATACTGTAAAATCAAATATTATATCTTAAATAAAATAGTAAGTGTTTTGTAAAGACGTGGTAAATAAAGCACTGGAAACTGAATAGGAATGATAATTACTGTTTATAATTAAATTGCTAAACATGTTTTTCTGTAAAATAAGTTAACATTGTAAAAAGTTATAAAAATCTAATCTAGCCCATCTTTTAAAAAAATCGTCCTTTATGACATCGACTTTTAAAATGACAAGTTTCATAAAGATCATATTTTCTAATACAAAAAAAAAAGGTAACTGATTGGTACCATTTTAGTTAGTATGTATTTGATTTTTAGTAGATTAATTTGAAAAAGACATACTTGAACAATAGCTGTGTATTTTCTTTTAATAGATGTAAGAATTATATGTAAGGAAAACAAGAATGAAATTTAGGAAAATGTTATCACTTCGAAATTAACTTTTTTCCATTTTGTGACATTACAAAATTTATAATTAAATTCTAATTGAATTTTTAATATTTGTTACCTAATCAAGCCATTTAGTTAACTATATAACATTTTTTACAATTCATTATTAAACATATTTATTATAAAACTACATTGCATGGGTTCGGGAACGTCTTAAGGGAATAAAATGTCTATAGGCAATAAAAACTTGTTTTAGTCGCGCCTTTGAGCTATGGCCACATCAACCGGTCTGATCGATATAATAAAGCGATATGATAAACAGAATTGAACGATTTGTATATTGTCTATAATTAATTGATATTAGTCCTTGAAAAAAGGCGGTTTCCAAAGCCATAAGTACGTTTCTTTGCTTAAAAAATACTAAAATACCCGGTTTTGTTTGCTACGAAAACTAATATATTATGTTTTACAGTTTACGTCTGTGACGTCGAAAACATACTAGAATACGACGGCGGTAAGTGAATAGCAAATACCATTGACAGCTCTATCTATATTTATACTCTATATATATATATATATATATATATATATATATATATATATATATATTACTGCATGCAATATGCATTCACTACAAAGACAGTCATACTTAAGGCGAATGGAAAATATCATTTTTCGTAACAAGCGTCGACATTTACGTTTTTGCCGTTGCTTGTATTAGACTTACATAAAATGCTATCGACTAACGTTTTTGTACTCAATTACAATCTTAGTATGCTGGTATCTTATGAGTATTAGATAATAGTTTACTCAGTGCAGTGTGCTGGGTTGTTGTTTTTTTAACATCAACAAAAAACAATTGAGAAAACTTAAAAAATGAATGTTAGCAAAGTTACTTGACAGGAAATTTGAGAAACACATTTGAATTAAAGAATCGTAACACTGTTTTTAGAATTAATTTCTACACTGCCTAGTTACTCAACACCATCTTAAGTCTTAACATTTAAATTTTAGCTGTTTAACAGAAGCTCTTCTAAATAAATAACATATTACAAATACAACTAATGAATAATAATTGTCGTGTTATAATAATACAAGTACATAGATACTAAAATTTCAACAAAACATATATATACCAGTCATGGGAATTCTTCTTGTGATACGGTTTTTGTTACAATTTAAGCCATACTGTGTTTTATTAAATGTATACTTATTTACAACCGTATGATCCATTTTGACTTTAGCGTTTACAAATTCCCTCGAGATATCAGAGTACACAATTGTAACGACTTAGTCATAATAATTTGATTACGTCTGAATTATTATTTACACTCGGTATTAAGATCTACCGACTGCTGTATGCTGTAGTATACTTGGCCTGGTGTTTACAAATGTATTCACAGGGAGAGGCTATTTGCGTCTACCTTTTTGATGCACTCACAGACCGACGACAGCTGCTTTGTACCGTTGTCATTGCTCTTGTTCAAAACTAATTAAATAACTTTCGACAGTGCGACGCTGGATTCCAACTCGCATCGGATTCGCGTATAATCTACGATAAAACAGTAAATTAGGTATGTGAAATAATAATGATGTAAGCTCGAAGGTCTAACAGATCTGGATGTGACGTAGTCGCCTATCACCGCCACTGTTTGTAACCACCACGGGTCGTCTAATTGTTGAATAATATTTATTATATTATATATAAGAAGCTCCAGTCTATCGAAACAAACCGGTTTTTGTTGTCGGCATCGTCTGGTGACCACTGCGTACTCGTGTGCAATGTCACTCTCGCGTTCGTCCGCCGGGAGTTCGCTATACTAAAGCATGTGCACAAACAAGCGCACTAAGAGTTTTACAGTTTTCGTCGTCAATTACTTACAAGATTCAGACAAACCAAAAAATAATTAACCAGTGATCGCGTTGGGGCAATATTGTAAAAAAAAAAAGAAATGTACGGGACGTTTGTGGTCGGGATCGTGTTTTGCGTCGGTGTCGGTGGCATATCGGGTAAAAAGTCAATAATCAGTTGTTTGCCATTTAATATTATGTTGACTTACTTAGTTTTCTGTTTTTGATTCTTCGACCAGGTCAATTAGTCAGGGTTCAACTGCAAAGAGACACCGAACGGGTAATGTATTTATCGGGCTCTATATAAACCGCCCTATCGCCAGCATCGGCAAAACCAACCGTTTGTGAACATATATATTGTTTGTAGAGGGTTGATTTGTGCGACAGAGACTCGGAGTGTGTTCCTAGCATCCAATATTGCAATACCGCCACTGAATCGCCGTCAAAGCTAAAAAAATGCGGCTACATGCAAGACATGTGAGTAAAGACGTTTTTTATTTAATAACAAAATAATATCATCTTTCTAGATGGACAAAAAAATAAATACATAATACACAAATATCTACATCGATATAGGTATTGTAACCGTCGTAACGCGTCCTTGTATTCAAGGTACAATATTTGTTAGTACGTACAATAATATATTATGTTATAACTTATAATTGTCAAAAGTGTTAATGTATAGATTATTCGAAACTCGGTTATTCAAATGACACTTATGTGCAAAACAACATATTATTATTAATGTACTGTTCATCGTCCACTCGTTAAAAATTGCGATGAATTGCTGAATGTTATTATTGCTAATAGTAAATACCAAACAACAATGCCCGGAGGTTACCCATATCAAGTATTAAGTTATGCTATTGGTATACTTAAATGGATGAATGCGTGTAAATTAAAAGCACATAGAAGAGGCGGTAACGAATAAACTTGACACATGACTGATAAAAAGTTTCATAATTCATAAACGAATTTTCTTTTAAACACTACCTAGGTAAAAAAAAATGGTTTTTGAGTACGATATTTCTTATGCATTATATTAAATTCGATTTTATACTATATTAGTATATTATACATAGCTTTGTATTTCTATGATTAATAGATGGTTTGAGTTGTTTTTTTAGTGAAATATACTAAAACTTGCACGGTTGCTTTACAGTAATACTAAATATAGATAATATTTGTTACTAAAATATGATATTTATTAATACGTTTAAAATGCATTTTAAATTAAAATATGAAGTACCTATATATATAATAGAGTTTATTGGAGAGGCTTGTCTAGATAATTAAAAAAGGCACGTTTGTACCGCGTGGCTATAAATAAACAATTTTTAAACTTTTCCACAGCTTAAAAGTACTTTAGTATTATAATTTTGAGATTCAGCATTATACCGTGCAACATAAAAACTTATGTATATTCATGTGTGTGATTTTTCACACGTTTATTTTTACAAGTACATTTGTTATATAAAAAATGTTTAAATTTTAAACATATACAGTTTATCATATTTTCTAATAAGTAATAATCAATTTAACAAAAAAAAATACTGAAGGTATTATAAAAAACGTGATTAAGTCCATACATATGTAGATTATATATTATTTTTAATTAACTCACGGAAAATTATTAAATTATTCACCATTATTTGAATGCACAACATAAAGTGTGTGTGTATGTGAAGTAGAGGGGTGGAGAGAAATATCGATTGAATAAGTATAAATAAGGTGTGTACAGGATTCCTATTATACGTTTATTTATTACATTAGAAAAATTAAGAGTCTTCTTTATTTTCGACCTTGTCAGTTATTTATAGCATTTTGTTGTTCGGTTTTTAATTTTTATTCTTTCAAGCTTTAAACGTTTTAAGTATGATAAACGTTCGTGATGAACGAAAGTATGTTTCGTTAATTTATGTTACGAATGTCGATATTCAGTTCAATTCATTTTCTCATAAGTCAATATTCAATAAAAAAACTCCTGTTGAGTATTGATTTAGGTTAAATCAATATTATATTATAAATATAATCTTTTTAATTTCTGAAAAAACGTATTGTTATTATTAATGCTATATTATTTTGTTTTGTTAAATTTCTTTAATGCAATTATTTCTCTCTAATTATCATACTCTACTTATACATATTAATCGGCTGTATTTGTTTTTGTGTGCAATGACAATTTCAAAAAAGTAAGAATAGAATTAAATCTAGCATCAGGCCTTAAGCAGAAATTAGTAACAATATCATAATACTGTTATGAAGAAGCTGTCAAGTACATCCCTCAAAAGAATATTAGAAAACTATACTTCTAGAATTAAATTAATTGATCCATTTCATTGGATACGTTTTAATAATTGATGAGTTCTTAAAGGAATTACTTTAACGAGCAAGTAAGTTAGGCGTACCAAAATAATTATTAACTTAATTGAATTCATAAGAAACATAGACAAAGAGAATTTAATGGTAATTAAGAGAACTAATTAAATTCCAAATATTTGTAGTTTGTGTTTTATATTATTCGTAGCAATAATGTGTTTCACACAACGTTTTTTCTAGTTTAAAAAAAGGATAATTGTAGTATATAAAAAACTAACTCTACTAAATAAGGTTTTACAACTTTGTAACTTAAACAAATAATTGTTAATTTGTTTTCATTTCGAATAAAAATATAAACTATTTATACGATCTAGTTATCAAACACTATTGTAGAACAATCGATACTAGACACTAGTAATTACTTTTCTCGTTTTTGATTTCACTTTAACTGGTGCTTTGTTTTCAGAAGAGTAGAGGGTGTTTGTTGTCCAGCTTCCAACAACAATGTGCCGAATAAACGAAAGAGGCAGACCAGCAACGATTCAGACGAGTCAGACTTAGACAAAGCATTAGATAGGGCATCGCCAGAGCCGATAAAACCATTTCCTGAAGATCCAAGTTGTGGTATAAACAGCAAAACGACTTCCAGTATTATGAATGTACAAAGCACCACCGCAAGTGACTGGCCATGGATGGCAGTTTTCCTGGAAACCTTAGGTTACACAAATTTTTGCGGCGGTGTTATACTTAACAGAAGGTTTGTGCTTACGGCCGCACATTGTTTCAAAAAGTAAGTCTCGAAGAAGTTAATATTGTCCTTGGTGAAATTGAATGAATTTTGAAAGATAAAAATCAATATTGTATTAAAGCTCATGTGGTTTTGAGCTCGATCAATTAAAATACAAATTATTGCAGCTACTATGTTGACTTTTAGGTACACGAAAAAGGATCTTGTTATTAGACTGGGCGAGTACGACTTTACTATGAAAAATGAAACTCAGTACATCGATTACAGAGCGACAGACATCAGAGTGCACCCGGATTATGACAAAGCCACTAACATCAACGACATAGCCATCGTCAAGTTGAACAGACCGACCACTTACAACACGTTCATCCGACCGATTTGTTTGCCGAAAACCAACATGGTAGTTTACAAAAAGACTGCTATCGTTACAGGTATGTCAATGACTGCATTCATAGAGCTAATTAACTGTTGAGATAATACATTATTTGATGCACATTTGTCCAAGTTGGCTGATCGACTCTTAAAAATTTTACCTCGTTTTCAAATTCACAATTTCCTCATTGATTCATCCAATACCAAATCTTTGTCCTGTCGCGATAAACGACAATGATTCACAAGTACAAGTAAAACTACATTATTAACCGTTTTATCGGTTTGTTAACAAAAATTATTTTAAAGGTTGGGGTCAGACTTCGTTCGGCGGTGAAATAAGCGACATCCTCATGGAAGTGCCCGTACCGGTGTGGGACCACATTAACTGCACTTCGGCTTTTACACAACCCATTTTCAGGACCAACTTGTGCGCTGCATCGTATAACGGAGGAAAAGATTCTTGTTTGGTAAGCTAAAACCGTGCCCTCACCATGGTTCTTGGGGGTTTTTGGGTTTCCTTAATTTTTTTTTATAAGCAGTATAAGAAAATAAGTATTGATCTTTTTAAACGGTCTGAAACCGTCCAGGGAATTCAGTGGGTACTCCCATTTTACTTGGACTGGTAGGGTTCTTTTTACGTACGTGTGTTAATGTTAATATACAGGGCGATTCCGGCGGTCCGTTACTCATGCAAAGACAGGATGGCAAGTGGACGAACATTGGAGTGGTGTCGTGGGGTATAGGCTGTGCAGAACAAGGAAAACCGGGCGTTTACACCAAAGTCACTTCGTATCTAAAATGGATAGCAGTTAACGCTCAGGACGTCAATTAACCGACGACATAATTATTATTATTTTATGTCCAACTACTAAACACTTTTTAGGCGTGTATATATGATTACAAATATTTCGATCGTTATGGTTTTATTATTTTTTTTTTTACAACAACGTATATGTTATCACTATTTTTGTGTAAAAATTATACTATATATTTTTAACAATAACGAATGAGTTGATTTAACGCCTTTTTTGGTGACATCAAAGTACGGAATAAATGATTTGTATTGTAGGTAATTTATTTGACCAAATACAACAACAACAGAATATTTAAAAGAAATGGGCAAATCCATATCATACATATTATATTAATTATTATAATAACAGAGTAACAATCGACGGTGACACTTTAATATCAAAATATGTTTTACACAAATTAACGACCCGGCAGTGGATTTTCGACGTTAAAATAATTTTTTATTACAGTTTCCATAGCAACAAACCATGTCGAAACAATAATAGAACAACACTTTTGACTTTTTATCTATTTGATATTATCGTTTTTCAATAAATAAAATCGTAACACATTGTTTTTATTGTTACCCGATTGTGAAAGAAAAGTATTTATGTTAGTGGCCATGTGGAACTCTAAGTCACTGAACTGATTTTAATCAACTGAAGACTCGAATAATCTTAAATAAATCTAAGCTGATTCTTAATTAGTTTAGACTTCTGTGCGATGATGTTTAATATGATAAACTAAATCCTATAGAAACACTAAATTCTTCGACTTAGTTTCGTTAGTTATCTGCTGTTCGGGGTTTTATAGTTTATTAAGTTTTAGATTGATTACAACCGTTGTAGTCGTGAAGCAGAATTTTCAGTTTAAGTTTTAAGATTGGTGGTCTACATGTATAACAATATTTCGCCGAAGCCGAAGGCAGAAATATTATTTAGTTTAACAATGGCGTGTACGTTTTGTGTTATTTACGCCTGAAATGACAGTGAATAGTTCAACCAACGTGCAAGAGATTTTCACGATCGAGATCGTACCCATTGTTAAACGACTCTTATTGTATGTCTCTCAAAAAGCACTGATGGACTAAATTATAATTATATTTTTCATCATCTGTGCCTAAATCGAGAAAGGCTAAAAGGTAAACTAGATCGATTTGCCGACGATCAATATTTAAAAATGCACGATTGTATCACGTCATGCAAACTTTCCATTACTTTCAACGTGTCTGCCGAGGGGTTTAAACGCGTTGACGGCTAGATCACACATAACAAATTAAAGCTGTCGTTTCTTAGAGTTTTCCAATAACAATTTCTCAAGCGAATAACGCACCAGTGGACTGAAAAATTAAAACTTTGGATTGCGATAATTTATCGTTAAATATAACTGCTAGGATGAAAATACGACGATATAGGTAAACGTAGCTAAAATGGTTAAGTAATTTTTCTACAGACATAATAGCTCTATTTAGCAGTAAGTTATGATATTAAAAAAATACATCAGAGTTCTAAAATTAAAATATATTGCACCAATATTATGATTTATGAGCATTAGTTTTTAATGACATAACAATATTTTATTTGTTAATAATTATATTTCCTATAATATTGCGATAATTTTTCCCACATAATACTTGTCACACAAATATTATGACAATTTTAAATAAAAAATGGTAATATAATATGTCTGCAATGTTGTGACAATTCATGATGAAAAATATTATATAATATTTTATGATTTATGAAATTGTTTTTAATATTTTAAAATGTTAATTTATTAACAAAGTATGTTTTTAATATATGAAAAATATCATGTAAAATATTAATATTTTACAAATATCTGACGACTTGCGAATACATTTCTAAAAGCTAAATAAAAAAATGTGAGTTATTCTTTATAGTTTTGTAAAAACGTATCATAATTTATACTAATTATTACTTGAATACTTATAAGACAGGTATTACCATGATTATTTAATATTGTCACAGCAATCTGATGTGGCCTAACTATACATATGTACCAAAGTTTTCAATTTGATATCAGTTACATTCGTTTTGGGTATTCTTAAATGAGACAAGATATTAATATTAAAAGAGTACAACTATTATAAAAGCAAACTATTTGTTATCCTTTACATAAAAAACACTGTTCAAGTGTATGCTATATGAAAATAAATTTGCCCTTAAAATTCTCATCAAGGTTTGCCATGTCGAATACAAATGACAAAACGAACTCGTGTGTTAAAAACAGCTCGATTTAATCACAAACAATATATTATCAAGATGAAACTATAAAATCCACCTCAGTGAATGCCCGCGTTAAGATTTCTAGGAAAATACCCTCGAGAGTCACTACCAGAGTATAATATATGTTATTTTTATTGATTTTATAACGGAGCAAAGTATACTGGCAAGTTGCACATTTCGCCCACCACCATTTGGTCAAATAATTGATTGGCTCGATTTGATTCGCGTTTCAGCAATGAATTTTAGCCGAGTTTCAATACAAAAGCTGTGAAATTTCGTAGCTTTAACCGTCTTGGCAAAACGAGGAAAGTTACGAAACTTTATGATTGTTTTCCGACGGGGCAATGTGACACAAACAAAAATATATCTAGAAAAACGTTCAGTGAATTTTTCATTTAAGCACATATAAAAAAATGCTCTAACAAAAATGATATCACTATAGCTACAGCAAAGATAATACGACTAATAGTTGTGTCTCTGATCATCTGATTTGACTATCCAACCTTTAAAAACACCACACAGAGTCATTTACCATGTAGTTATTATCACTTAATAATTATTGTATATATTACAATACATAAAACATCTTTAATGCAAGATAAATATCAATCAGATTCAAAATATATATTTCTGGCAGCCAATTATAGTCCGGGCGATTAAAATTTAAAAAATGCACATCGTAGTAAAATTAATACTAGCTTCGCATCGAAACTAATACAATACTTTGAATAAATTCTGAGGTGGCATCTTAATACTTTTTTAGATCACATACTGTTTTAAGAAACGTTTGACAAATTACTAAAAAGTTATATGATGTAAATTATACATTGGTAGTATAATAGTATTAAAATAAATCTATTAATATAATATTATATAAAATCTATTTATATAATAGAATAATTCAACAATATGATGACAAATGAAATGGACATAAGTAACAAGTACAATTTTGTTCTATTATACAGTTAGTATGATAATTTCAAATAAGGTACATATTAATTATTAGATAAATGTTAGTTTGTGGTGTGACATGTTATATTATATTATTACGATTTTTTTTTAATAACTTTAAATAGTTGGAAAACATCGTAATGAAATATACTCATAGCAGTTTGGTATGTATTATACAATTAACCCCCAGAGAAGTATCTTCTTCTAATTTTATCTCTTTATATAATATTATTAAATAAATAAATAATAATACAAAATAGCAGTTATTCTTCCAAGAATATGACACATTATTTATGTTTATTGATTTAACTTAAGCAGAACATAATAAGATTTATAATACTCCGGAGCTTATTGCGGGTACCTTAGTGTGAAGCTAAGGATCGTCCAATTTGTTGTAGTCTTATGAAAATAACAAATCGACCTAATTAATAATTAAATCAATATATTAACCTTTTTTAAACAAAAACATTTGCCATTTCAAAAAAAAACCTAATAATATTTTGCTTTGGAGTTTTAGAGGAAGCAACACTTTAGTTTAATAAATTAGAACCCACTATCTTGGGCATGGTTTTAATTTTTTTAAAGAAGTCTGTAACGTCACAACAATACATCAGACCTTTTTCGGGCTCTTCGTCAAACGATACCCAACTGATTTGTTTACAGACGTCTCGGCACAAACTCGATCCGGGATTATCATTGCGGTTGGCAAAAGGGTCGTTGACGCCAATAAAAGCCACGGCCCGACGTTGCTGATCGTCGTGCACTACCTTCCAAAACAACTGAGGCACGGGTATCGTGTTTCGACCAGAAGTAGTGGCTGTCAAGTAAAGAGGGTTGCCGGCCACTTTGAGCTGACCATGGACGCCCGTGTAAACGGTCAAGTTAACTTTTTGGTCGACGGCTAAACGTCTAATGGCGGCTTCCAGGGTCTGCCAATTGCCACCGTTGAAAGACTGCCATTGCGGTGCCGTGTTGGCGTAGTAGAAAGTGGCTGATTGTTGAGCTCCAAACACAAAGTCCGCTTTCGGCACGCAATGACCTTTGGCTAAGAAATTACGCGTTTGGATGTACTTTTGGGCCTCTTTGTTCGACAAAGTCCTCAATAACATGGTCCGCTGATTGGTCGTTTTGTACGCTTGACTTGGTGACACGTCAGAGAAGAGAGTACCCTCGCGGAACGATACACGATCGAATCCTTTTTGTGACCTATTTGCACAAAACCATAAGAATATCAATAATATAAGGATTTAAAAAACCGCAAATGCGACCAAGAAAACGCCTAACTATGACGGAAATCGTGATATTATTAACAACAATAATGTACTTCCTACCCTTTGATGTTGGGCGTGATAGTGTGTTTGGTATACACCGGGATGTGGTCGTTCTCGTCGAAACACAAGTCCATGATTGGAAGGAATCCGGTAGCGCCCACGTCGAAACCGACTTTGAAGTGACTTTTTTCCCCAGCACAAGTTCCTACTTTCTTCAGTTGGGACTCGGGCAATCTTACACAGTCCAACTCGCCAAATTTTTTTTTTGACGCGCCCGAATCGAAATCCCCGCGGTCCGAACACGATATTTCCTGAGTGCTCTCTGTCTTCTTTTCCTCGAAGCCGCTGCCCGGACAAGCCAAGACCAACTGATCATGTTTGTCGAAGTGTATGGTGTTGCCCGAATCCGGATACGCAAACTCGTACTCTCCGCTAACCTTACCCGGTATCAACACCAATGGCTGTCTTCGGGTCAAGTCTTTGTTGGTGGTGATGTTGCAACCTGCCCACTCGCCGGTAGAATCTTAATTTAAAAAAACGATAGTGATCATGAGAATTTTCAAAGTTTTAAAATATCTGTGTAGAAGCGTTTTAATACTTTTTCATATATCGACTATGTGTTAAAGTATTTTCGCATGCTAATATATTCACTGATTTTATTTTAAATACTTACATAATTATATTAATACCAATTACTGATGTTAATAATAATATATTCTTAAATTATTATTTCCAATTTTAGTATTTGCAAAAGCTAGGTAACCTAACTTAGAATTTGGCAAGGTACTTAAAATATGGTCAATTTTATAATTTCATCTTATTACAATACTTTGCTAAGTACTCGACTTAAATAGTTAATGATTTTTAAACGCGTTTAACATACTCATAAAATATATGTTATAGTATACTGTATACAGGGTGTCCCATAATGATACGACAAATGAAGTAACTTTTGTTAAGATTTTTTTTTAAAATTAATTTATACTCATTTGGGCGATAAGCACCAAGTTTTTAAAATTCAAGATAGCCATTTTATTAAAAATAATTTGATGAAAATTATGACTGGTCTATAAACAGATTTGGATAATTACTTTTTAAGTTACTAAAGGTTAAAGGGTAGGATGGGAAGTGGAGTGCGGTAGAGTAAGCGCGTAGAGCTATTTTTATTTGCGCGCATTACGCAAAAATTAAAAAAAGCAAATTAGTTAAGTGCAATAAAAAACGTGGTGCTTATAGCCCAAATGAGTATACATTTTCTTTTTGTTCGGGTTTTCAAGTTTAAATGTATGAAATCGATTGATTAAAGGTAGTGTACCAGATATTACCTTTTTGAGTTTGCTGTTTTGCAGAAGTGCTTAAGCCAGATTTACAATGTAATGTAAATAACAGCAACAACAGCAACTTCGACCGGGACGTGTTTAACATTTCAACGATAATTATCAGACTGCTAACGTAAATATTACACAAGAAGTATCGCTGCTGACTGATAGTCGTCGACTGCAAACATTAAACGGTTTGCTTATGTCCACTTGAGAAGATCGTCCAGTTTGCTTTCAAAACAGTATTGACCTCCAGCCTAGAAACATAATAATAGAAAATAATATTACTAATTACCCGTAAAACTAATCAATATTATGTTCCAGTAACACAGCTAAAATAATAATCCAGTAATGATACTTAATCATCGATATATGTCTTCAAAAATAAAGAGTATTATAAACTCAACTGATAAGCTTTGCATTGAACGTTGCAAATGTATTGTAATCAGTAGTACCTACCTAATTGTTTTTAAAATACGATTTTAGTTTTATTTATATTTTATAAAAAAATAATAAATAAAATTATACTTAGCTGATAATTGTATAAATTATAAATAAAAAAATATTTCTGTCAAAAATGAGCTTAAAAAAAAAATTTACCCGAAAAAATTTAAGAAATATTTTAACAAATTTACTTCAGATAGCTCTCAAATGTAGCTCTAAGCGCTTAAATTACATTACGGTGAACTTATAATTTAGAAAATACAATTATTAATTGACTTTAAAAAATTAAAAATAGGTTCATCCGTTCTTGTAAGGTCTGTGTCAAACCGAGCAAATGCAAATACCATAGTTTAGCACAAATGATCAACAACTTTGAATTTGTATTGAACATTTTTTTAATCACTTGACTTCTCAGAGCATAATAAATACATTTTATTAGAACACGAATATGTTTTTGGCATTTAAGTAGATGTGCCGTATTTGCTTAAAGTAAGTAAAGGTACTCGATTCTAACGTTTAAATACATATATGTCTCGTTTATTTATATTTGAAAACAATTAGTCATTTCACAAGTGGTTATTGACACTAATCGTCGGTTCTATTGTAATTTATTTAGAAACACGGAAACTCATTTTCTGTTTGAATAAACACGATATTAATTATTATAACTAAATAAAATACCTATCAAACAACAATGACATAGTGTTGAATATTATCATCGCAATAATAATTGTATGTAGTATAATTATTTATTGTAACTATATATTAACCATTTTTATTATAATTAGTAAACCCGACAGATGCGCAACTGCCCTGATTGCATATTATTGTACTTTTAATCTACTTGTATTAAAACTTTCATTGCCATATAAAATATAAAATAATAATAATAATTATAAGAAGTACTTACTATAAGATGGTTCTGATCTGAAATATGTATACCAAGCATTAGCAGCTAACGATGCGGATATTGAACGCTCTCATGAAACGGACATCGGCCAATGCACATTATTAATGATTACACAGGCAATTACTCGTATTATAAAATCCCAGTAGTGATTCACATAGAATATACGATTAGAGTTTCATACTTCTTATAGTTGCATAACACATGTTGTCTGTTGATAACAATTATAATATATCTAACCTAAATTAAATATTAAAGTTTTAAAAACGCACAACTGTAACGAGAAAAATAATTTGTGCGTGCTGTAATAAAAGTGAGGATTATAAACTGTTTAGGTTATTTCTTTAATTTTTGGGTATTTAATGAAAAATAGGAGGCCGGGGCCATTTCTATAAGAAATGTATACCTACAAAAAGTACACCCCATAACTAATAAATTACACTAATAGAAAAATAAGTTGAAAATTATTAAAATAAAAGGGGTTTGAAATATTGCCTATATGTTGCCCCTTAACAAATAATCACAACTATGCATAAATAAAATCCCTCGAGGATAAACAAAAACACAGACTTAGTCAGTCCAGTTAAATATTTGTTGTAACTTCAGAATTTAAATCTATATAAAATCAGTATTTAGCGTTAAGCAGTTAAAATAACATATTTTTGTTTAAAAATCTGCTAATTAAAAATACCGCTTTATTATTAATTCTCATTTATGTATTTTACCTACTATTCTGTAATATTATATCATATTTATAGATGATACATATAATAGATGAATATTGATATGATGAAATACCAATAGATAGTGGCTTTTTAGTAATCTCTTGTTCCATTAGACTTTCAACTGCGCGGTTAAATAATAATATGATACTATTTTCTATTTTAAAGTACTACCATTCTCAATACCTAAACCGATTACCGATCTTCATCACTATATCACTTACGCACGTCAAATTCAGTACCCGATGACCTGGCATAATATTATAGCTGCTTTTATGTTATGTAGATTACATAGATCGTATAATATTATTAAATATAAATAAACGTTTATTATTTAAAAAAAACAAAAAAGTTTATTAATATCAACACAAATAGGTATAATGAAATACTAACAGCTATTAACAATCCATTAATGTAAATGCTTTCATATGCTCTTTACTGTTATTAAAAATTCTTATAACAATACAATACATATAGCAACTACTTTAATAATTATTTTATAACAATACAACAATAGTGTCGACAGTCGATGATGAAAAAAATCCGGTTGCGTTTAAGCGCCTAAATGGACAATTCACAAATACAACATAATAACCATTAGGCCTTAAACGTGTCCAGCGGGGTGAGGTGTCAAAAGCAGAAATAAGTTTGATATTAGCGCGTTTAAAAACGAATCATCATATTTATTTTATATGAAAATATTGTACATTATGCAATGCGCATCGGTCATGTGGACTTAAACGGGTTGCCGTTTTTAAAATCTAGTTAGTAGATACTCAGGGGAACCATAAGGTTCACATGCCTGTCAGTAGTTAATAAACAGTTACAATCGCAGTGACGATGAAATGACAATATTATTTGACAAACAAAATACATAATAATATATGAACATACAAAATGATACAACACAGTGTAACTGAAAGTGTGCTGGATGTTGAAATTTGGACAACTCGACGATTAAGCAACAACCGATAGTACGAAAATAATAACATTATTGTACTATTTTACTCGTGAGACGTATTGAATGATATCTGGGACAAACGCATTGGTGAACGACTGGCGTTTTGTTATCCGAGCCTCGCGAGTATATCAGCTATATTGTTGACAATCGAAATAGGGTGAAAAAAACAATTAAAATATACTCGAAAATGACCTTGTTGCCGGTTATCGGACGAAGGCAAGAAGTCTTTGTGCCAGAACCGTCGCGTCGGTCCGACCTGATAATCATACACGTCTTAGTAATATTGCTAAGCATAAACATATTATATAATTATATATACATAATATTAAGTCATACGGATGGCCGTTGTCGGCGTAAAATAGTCAAAATGCATATTTTTAATTAATCTGTGTATATGTATAAGACCGTTGGTCGCCGGCTTTGAGTACTTGTACCTAAAAATCAGCGTTGGCACTTGGACCCGAACCTCCACCTCGGCCGCCGAACTCAAAAGCGTATCCCGCACCAAAGGCAGGACCGTTGTTTTCGGCCGACTCTCTTCTACCGCTATAGGTCGATGCAGCATGGTATTCCCCGTCGTCGTCGCTGTCGTCCCTGGAGTTGAAAGCACCTAACTCGGCACTGCGTTCCAAGTCTTCCCGAACCCTGTAACCGCCGCCTTCGGATCCCGAAGGTCGACTGCTAAAGCCTCCGGAACCGCCAAAAGGTACGGCCGGTAAAGGACTGGAACGACCTCCGTGGTATCTATTAAGAACAAAAAAAAAAAAATTCAAACAAATGTTTGAAAAACAGAGGTTTCCCTCGAATGTCCAAAAAAAGTAAAAATCAGAGAACGTTGGATTTTTTGCTGAAAATAAAGAAAAAAATACTTGAATCACATTTAACTTGACGGAAAACTAAGTTATCTATATCGGTTAATTATGACTCGATATGAATTATAATAATTTTCTGGTTCATGTCGAAAAAGAACATTTATTTACACTGCAAATGTAGAAAAAACATGAGTAAAATGTTTATTTATGTACAGTTAAGTGTACCAATTTCCACGTTCTCCGCCACATGAATATTATAAACAAATCTATTACAAAAAAAACATTTTTTAAAGTATTTTTTAGTTTTAATACTCACTTCTTCTTGCGTCCCAAGCCGGACGACGGCACGGGTGGCACGAACGATTGCCTGTGAGTCGCCCCGTGTACGTTGCTTCCCTCGTCGTCATCACCGGTCAAGATCCGGAAACCGTCCTTGCCTGCTGTGTACCGGACGCTCACCTGATTTCCGTCGGGCGAAGTGTACGAGTAAGCACCGGTCCGGCTGCCGTCGGGGGCGATGCGTTCCGCCCGTTGTTGGCCGTCGTCACCGGCGAATGCGAAGTTGACCCCGCCGTCCGGGTCCACCTGCTGTTTGTGCACCAAAATGGCCACGGACGCGGGCTTGTCACTGGATTTGCTGCGGTAATGGTACGGTTCCGAGTCAAAGCTGGACGCCGTCACAGCTACCGTCCAGCAGCACAACAACAGCGCGGTAGTTGTTCTTGTCTTTGTCATGATGATCGTCTGCAACAACAACGACGACGACGAGATGTTAATAGAACGTTTGCGTTCAGCTTGCGCGCCCACGCCAATGTCGTTACCATAATGATAATAACGACAACAACGACAATGACAATAGCGACGGCGCTGCCGCCGCAGCCAGTTCGTTAACGGACCGTGCCACGATGCGGTCCGGAATTGCGTAACTCGCAGAACCGTCAACGCCGTTGCGGTATCGGTGCGGTTTACCAATCGCTGGCGCGCATGGTTTTCCGGATTACAATACATTGTGTACCGAGAGCGTGTATTGTTGTTGTACCTATTGACGGTGTTTTGCAACGGCGCCCGTTAATAACTCTTTAGCGACGCGCGTGTTGACGCTGTCACTGTCCACTAGAAACGCATTTTCCCGGAGCCATAGTGCAAAAGCTTCCAAGAAACACTGCAATAGACCTCACAAAAACACTTAGGCATACCGTAAATATATGTTTATCTAAAGTGGCCGACATGATCTACCTAGAACCACTCCTTCATATTTTGTTGGCTTAAGTAAATTATCAACAAAGAGGCAATGATCCGGTATGGAAGTAATTAATCTTTGAACATAATCATTTTATCTAGGGATGCTTCTTGAGATCAATAGGCCAGGTTTGGAGCTCTACAGAAACACCCGTCTCACTTGTACCGTGATAATCACCTAAACACGTTTGAGATATTATTGATAATATATAGTGTATGATTCGTGGACAGCTTATTCTGACAGACCCCAATTATTAGGCTAGGTACAAGTGTAACTATGTAAAATCACTATGTAAGAGTCAAGTGGTGCAACTTGCAAGTACTATCAAACAAGGCAAATGAAAATGCAAAACTCACCATAGAAATAATATATTTTTTATTTATTTCGTATTTAACTTTCATCGTTGTAGCGCATTAGGATCACGTAACTAAAAACATTACATTCAAATTAAGCGTTTTGTAGTTATTTTTTAAGTTTGATTTGACATTTCACTTATCCTATTTCTGGTCACTGCGCTCTAAATTAGACTTTGAGAGGTTGAATCTTTTTTTTTTCGTTATTTATATCAGGATTGAACCGAGTTTGAGTTTCGGAGAATGTACAGTCATATAAAATAATGAAATCTAGCAATAACATTTCAAATAATTCCATTAGCACCTTAAACTATTTTTTGCTCCGAGTCATCCAAGTTATATACCAGTTTTTAATATGATAACTATATCTTTGGAAAAAACTAATAGTTGATCGTTAGTTTATAGGTTTCAATAAAAAAAAACGTTTTAGTATAATAACCTTAAAGTTATTATTTCTCCCCTGTGACATAGTTTATTAAGTAAATTAGGTAATCAAATTTACATATATGACTAAAACGCATGAAAACGCCCTTGATAGTTACTTAATAAATTAGAACCCACCGTCTTACATCAATAGTGAATTGATTAATACAAATGTGATGGATGGTTGATTTGTGCCGGTGATTTCTGATTTTAATTGCAATAATATACAATGTATAATATATATAGATATAGTTTTTTAATGTATGTGTAATACTTATATAGTATACACTAGTATATTAAAAAAAAAATTACCACATAAAATAATTAAGCCTGTATACAAGTGAACCTCAAATAGTCTCGTGACAAATGTTTTTCAGAGGTTTCTACTTATAATAATAAAAATAATCAAAACACAAAGGTGAGCAAAATCGTAATAATATATACAGATTTATTTAATCAACGGACTGAATACAATATTATGCACATTACATTTAGTGCATACATTTATTAAAATACAATGGGTATACCTACCGAAGAAAATTAGGTATCCTCAAATGAATATTTAAAACGCATACTACTCAACACGCGTTTGAAATGTTTCATATAAATTATAATTTAAAATCAAGACAATTTAGTTTCCTACAATGCACTATACCCAATCACTACATCATACATTGTTTTCAGTTTACACTATTCCGAAATATTACAAGGGTCAAGTAAGTATTTCATATAAATGCTACGAATCATAAAATACTATATTATATTATCCGGACCACGTTTTAATATTTTTTGGCAACATAATAAACACAGACCTGATATTATGTGTTTGACTGTAATGGTTACAGAAAAAAATACATAGTTGCGGTCCAACTAAAATAATTTCTAGTTGGAATAACTAAATTAAGTCGGCCAATTAAATGTTTAATTGGGCCAACTGTCTACTTAGGTATTCCAACTAGAAATTATCGTGTCCCTGTTTATACCACAATTTTCATTGGACGACTATGTATATTTCCCATCATGTAAAAAACTCCAAGTTCCGTTTAAATTAAAAATCTTTTATAAGTTATCAATGAATTAAACCAGCTGTGACCTGTCGTTATTACCGGTATGGTGTAAAATTTATATAAACGTATATTGGTATAATTTTCGTCAAATGTTATGAAAGTGTAAATTTGAATCGACTAAATGTTGTCTAATGAAATTTTTGTGTGTCGTTTGTCGTTTTTACCCATCTACCTACATCAAACTCTCATTGAAACGATCCACTCGGTTTTTCACCCCCAACAGTAATCCGCGTGAGCCCTTATAGTGTCAATTCAAACCTTAAGTATTATTATAATTAATAGTACTCACCTTAAGCGTTATCCCTATTTGTACTTTGGTTTTATAGTAGTTAGTCTTCTTGGCCGGGTCGCCACTACTCGGGTAAAATAATAATAACGAGTGGATTAAAACGGAAAACAAACAAAAATATTTTTAAACAATGTACCGGAATGTAAGCGATATTATAGATTTTTTTTAGTTTTTTAATATTTTTTTATTGTAGTGTTATCGTTGTGTTTGTACTAACTGCAATGGTCGATCTCTGTACCCTGCCTTTTTATATATACTTGGCTGTGGCTTGGCCCCGCCGACGCGTGAAAGTGATCGGACCGTACAAACGGTTAAAGTGGCGATATAATTATTGCCTACATTGAATATATGTATTGATAGGTATGCGCCGCGGTTGCGATATTATAAAATAAAATAATAATATATATATATTTTTTTTCTTAAACCGTCGGTCACATATAGGTACATATTATTATTATTATCATTATTGTTATTAGTACCTATATTATATTGTTGTGGGGCAGCCGTTATGGCGGATACTTTTTTTTATGTGCCCATGTGTGTGTGTTTGTACACAAATACGTTTCGATATACATTGCAAAAAATACATCACAAAAAATATGATATATATCATATTAACCGGCCAACGTGACGTGTACGATCGCCGTGACACTGCCGTAACACTGTTGATTATAATTTACACACACACACACACACACACACTTATACGAAATAATTCAATTTGCGATAGACGTGTAAACATGGTAAAACACATCACAATGGCCTCACCGATACGTTACGGTTAATTTATATTAACAAATTAATTATACGTGATTTTGGTGTATTTTTATTTTTACAACGCGTTTTTTTCGGGCGTGCTCACACAGGACTTGCGCTATTAGTGCAAACGCGCGCGTTAGTAGGTGTTATATATTATTATGATTATTATTGTTGTTGTTGGCGGTCTGAACCCAGTTGCCGGGAGACTTTAACAAGAGGTAGGTATACCGGAAACGACAACGGTAGTTTTAACGCGCTATAAGCACCTCTATCGCGCGGTTCGCCGATAATGATCGCGGCCGGCCCGATGGCACAGCTGACCGGCCGATAAAGCGTGTTATATAACGGCGACGAAAAACCAACACCGGCCGCGACAAGTAGCATTCGAAAAATGTCACGGGCCATTATCGTGTGAAGCATAATAGCACCGCGAGATAATAATTTAATAACGCCTGCCTGTAGTGTTATAGTTAACTGTGTGCACCTAGATATACCTGATGATATAACCGCGGTTCACAGTGGTATTAACGTTTTCCGGACAATATTATTAACGGCTCTGGAAAGCGGTAAGTCGACCAAGTCCGCGCCCGCGTCGATTATATTATATGTATGTCATATTCGACTTACTTGGGGAGGTTTTTTTTTTGTCGTGCCCAATGGACGGACCTGCTCTCGAACCGCATTTTTGGGATGATAATGCTTGTAACAGCTGGTAAAACTAACAGTGCTCATGGTTGCTAGATAATACCGCGCAGGCTTAGAATTGCGTCAGACTTAGAAAAAGAAGTATTTACCGTGTTGATTACTCATTAGTTATTATAAGCTATAGCATCTTCCACGACTGGGGCCCAAATGCCCAAAGATAGCATATACATATAAGCGGTGCTATGCACAGCAGCGGCGGCCGATTTTATGCGGGATTCAACAGAGCCATAGTCATAGTTCACCATCCCCCAATTAGAGAACCGTCGTTTGAAATTGATGTTTAATACCTGCTACAACTTATTTTCATGTATTTAATACATTTTTGCTTCCAGTATATTTTGACACGCAGTGTGTCCAAATTTCTCAAAGCAGCACTTAGCACTCATTTGCACTATATGGTCGATATGCACCTGGCATTCATTTAATATACTATATTAACATGCATTTTTAGAAAAGTCAATTACAATTGTTATCAACGTGATTCTGTCTCATGTCTCGTTGACAATAAAAAAATAACGCTATTCCAAAACATTGCCAATACATGCAAAAGCAATACTTGTAATCGATTGCCATAAGTATTCTTTAAATTTTTACCTTGAAATAGTAAAATTTTGAAATCTTATTCGGGTTTCAAAAAAAATATTAATAATGGAGTGAAATTTTATTCTAATACGTTCTTTAAATAATGTACGACTCTACTTTGGATTTTACTTGAAAATCAATTATTTTTTAGGCTATAACACAGTGATAACGTTTCTTCATCGCGTTTATCAAAATCTATTTATTGAAACTTAGATAAAAAAAGCAGGCAGGTTAAAACACACAAGAGCCGCCTCATTTGTCGGTTCAACATTGTTAATAATCATAATTTATGGAAGGACACATGAAGAGAAGTGAATTTTTCTTAGTACAAAGTAATTTCCATAATAAATAATCCAACTTTTTTCTTCTAAACTTTAAAATTGGCTATTTTAAATACAAATTATGTTTAACTTGAACATAGTAGTGTTTATTTATCAAAATTATTTATCCAAAATTATATTACTATATTAATTCTTAGTCAAAATATGGTTTTACTAAAAGCCGGAAAGGACGTATCGAAAGCGGTCATAAAAAGAGATAGTTAATAAAAAAACGAATTTCTGCGACTCGACAGTATCTGTCTGCTATAAGCGTGTAACCGAATACATGGAAACGATATTTTTAAATTATAGGCCGTACACGCGGTTGCATAAAATGGCCGGTCCATGTGTGATACTTTTAACGTTGCCCAACTTATTCGGCCATTGTACAGTCCGGTTATTGTATTCGAGCTACAATGTCTTGTCTCCACTCTGCTCGTAACGTGATATTATTAGATATATTATTACATATGTATTATAATATTAACACACACACACACACACACACATATATATATATTGCCGGTAGTCGAGGGTAGAGGCGTCCGATTCGAACGGCCGCCATGGCGACCGAGGAACCCAATAATACATATTATGTAGTCGAGATAATATTATAGTGCCCTTATAGATCAAACAGTGTCGGGACGTCAAGCATAATGTTATGTTATAGTGAATTCGTGCAATAACGAGTATGTACAATACAAAATCAAATACCATTTAATGATGCTATTAATTACTATCAATATTTCCAGTGGTCTATTGGTATCAATAGCTGATATGTTATGTTTAAGAACAACTCGCATTCTCGTAGTATGTTCTTTAGAGTGGCCACAGTGGTAAGTATCATAAAATTATCAACGTATTGTACTTAATTTTATGTGAAGTAGGCAATTCAATTTTTTTAATAATAAAATAAAAACAAATATTAAATAATGACTATCATTGCGTTTAAAAATACGTGTCAATAGATTACCATTATTAATCGCACATAACACACTTATTTTATTTCATACTTTATTTGTTTAATTAAACAATTTTGTGTTTTCTTATAATCAAATTTATTACTCTTTGGTCAATTAAAAAAACTCAAAAGATATAAAGCTGGTTAAGAAGCTAAGTTGGTTAAGACTTTTAAGTCATTTGGTTTGGAAATAATTATAGCACAATTGCTTTGCTAAGTCTACAATATAGAATATTTAAAGGAGTTTTCTACTTTAACCTGATACGGTAGGCAAAATGAAATGAGTTAATTTTTTTAAATTTCGTATGAAATTCAAATATTTTGGGCGATTTAGTTAAAGTGGCCGACCCCATTGGCATTTGTATGAAGCAAGGTAAAGAATAAGAAAAAACAATTGTTATTTAGGAGGTAAGATAAAACATTCATAATAAACAGTAGATATGGATTGTTTTCATTTGATTATTTTAAAGATACTAATTTTTAAATAGCTTTAAACAACATTTTCTTTTTTATAAAGTAAAATAATAACTAGAAGCTAGTAGGTATGTACATATAAGACGTAGTGATTTGTTATAATTAAAAGCTATGATACCGTCTCAATTTCGAAGTTAAAACAACTATATAATTTGACTTCGATAAAAATATTTTAGAAATAGCATGTTCATGTTTGGGAACCCAAACATATTTAACTACGTAATATCCACATTTGGTCGGTAAACAAAATGACTAATAGCTTGTGAGTAGTGAATCTTCCGCTGAGAGCAATTAGAATATATTGTATTTCTGATATAACTTTAGTCAAGGTAGCTGCATTACATTAGCCCGTATTTTTTGTCTATTGTCGATATGGGAATCAAAATAAAATAATTTTTATAATACGGTTGAATAAAGTTTTAAAGGATTCCATTTACAATTTAAAATGTAAAAATGTCAATAATAAAGTCAAAATTGTTTTTTTAATTATTTTAATATAGCCAAATAATTTGACTTAAACAGCATTGTTATAGATTAACTTTAATATATTATTACATTGCATTTTTCACAATTTAGGTGATAAACGAAATGCTTAAAAAGTTTATTTAACCATATTTTGAGCGTTACAGTATCTTCTTCTTTGAGTGCCGTATTCGTTAACGAACGTTGGCAATCATGTTGGCATTCATGGTCTCTATTAACAGCTGCTCTGAATAGAGAGCTCGTAGATGTATTGGACTACTTTCGGAGGTTGTTCATCCAAGAAATTTATTTGAGGTCTTCCACGGTTCCTTCTTCCAACTATTTTGCCTTGGATTATTAATTGTAGTAGACTATATTTTTCTGGATGCCGCATAATATATCCCAGGTATTGAAGTTTACGCGTTTTTATTATTGTCACTAATTCCAGATCCTTATTCATTCGTTCCAATACTGTGACATTCGCTATGTGATCGCACCAACTAATTTGTAATATTCTGCGGTATATCCACATCTCGAACGCTTGGATTCGGTTGATCGAAACTTTGGATGAGTCCAAGTCTCTACTCCATAACAATGTACGGTAAATACATATATTATAGCAACGAATCATTCTAATTCGGAGATTCATGCTTAGTTTATGGCTACAGAATATATTTCTCATTTTCATAAAAGCCGCTCTTGCTTTCTCTATACGACATCTTATTTCGTTCGAATGATCCCAGTTATTTATCATTGATTGCCCAAGATAAGTAATTTTATGTACTCTATATAAGGGGACATTGTTAAGTCTAAGCACATTTATCGGGCTTTGTTCCTTTTCGATTATCATATATTTGGTTTTTCGGGCATTTAAATGTAGACCTAAGTTTTTTCACTTAGCTGTTATTACTCTGTCCAATAACTTTTGCAGATTTTCGATGCTGCCAGCTATCAACCCGGTGTCATCTGCATATCTCAAGTTGTTTATAATTTTCCCATTTATAACAATGCCCCCTCTGCCTCTTCCAAGACCTCTGATATTATTTTTTCTGAATATAGATTGAAAAGCAATGGCGAAAGGATACACCCTTGCCGAACTCCTCTTCGAATTTTAAAATCATTAGATAGTGTGTTATTTATTCTAATATTAGCTTGTTGATGCCAATACAAATTCGTTATGAATTGTAGGTCTTTTCCATCTGTACAATATAGATAAAACTATACAATTTACATAGTTAAATGTTTGCCCTTGTTTCAGAGTCATAATACGATTTTCTTATTGAACTAATGAACTAATGAGCCATGAACGAAGATCGTGACAGGCGAAGGAGAACGCTGCAGATTATTAGGGCCGAGTGCGTCGCTTGTCGCCATGTCACAGCCGAGCTGGATCGGCAAGTGATCGAGGGCCGAAGTCGTTTCGAAGCGGCCCAGGCGGCGTACAGGGCCAGGGCCAGTCGACTGGCCGAGCGGGAAGCCGAAGACCACCGTCGACTTGCGCTGGCCCTGCGAGATCGTTCCGAATCCGAAGAGCAAGTACAACGGGTTAGAGACGTCGTGGACGGAGAACTACGGGCACGGCGGACTGCCGGAACGGTTTTAGCTCACAGATTGGACGCTCGATGGCGCAAACTGCGAGGCCGTTATCGAGGGTTCGTAGAGGCAGTCTTATCGCCGAGCAGCGACGATCAATGCCAACTGCAGTCGTCGCTTGATTTTTCCGTCGATAAACAACAACAGTCGGTCGTTCAAAAGAAACAGCCCCGGGGCGGTGATGGCAGCAGTCGGTTTTTTGCGGTGGCCGACCTGTATAGGCGAGAATCGCTCAGGGCGTCCAGGTCGCTGCGTTCGCTGGTGGCCGTTAGTAAGTTGTTGTACGAGAACCAACAGTTCCAGGGCCGGCGACCCACGGAAGACGATCAGGACCCATTGTTGGTGTCTATGCAACGGGACGGCGGTGAATCGACGGCGATGGACCGAGTGTTAAACGAGTTACACGGCGTTCAGCTGCGATGCGCTCGAATAGCGGAACGGGTTCGGTGGCGAAAGGACACAGACGGCGCCTTTGAACGGACTACAGACACGCGAAATACAATGGAAAAAAAACAACTTTCGGCGCCCGAATCTGCAGAGGTAACTTTAGCTACTGTTCGGAACGCGGTGGAAGCAGGTCGCAGTTATATTGATCGTTTGCGACGCACCGCCGCTGTGAGCCGTTGGCTGTTGGAAGGTGAAAACACTGAAGAAGAAGTGCTGCGACGCGCGCTGTTCGTCACGTGCAGGCGGTGCGATTGCGCTCCGCCCGCTTCTTCGTCCACTTCCGCACTAAAAGAGATGACCGGTCGGTTGGAGCTCGCGTGTTTCACCTTGTTCGCCCGGCTCGACTTTGTTGGAACCGACGACAACGGTGCGGTGGTCGAGTCGTGCTTGCGTACGGTCAGGATGCGGCGGCAGGACGAGGAACACCGTAAAGAGGACACCGCACACCGGCTCGACGATTTCCGGAAAGCGGCCGGTCGTCTGATGACTGCGTTGGGGCCGTCTGTAAAGCCAATTGACGTTCGTCCACATGGACAGAGGCCCATCGAACAGAAACCGAAGATCGCGCAAAAAAAGAAAGCGACCACTGTGACCGGGTCGTTTAACGCTCCGACTTGTGGTGTAGACGAGATGGCGTCGTCCGACACAGCGCCTGTTGTGGCCGTTTGTCCACCGCGGCCTCTGCCCGTGCCAACCCGTCGCCTTCGTACTGTTAGAGGTGATCGTTAAATGAATACAATTAATTACTAACGATAAGTAGTTTTTTTATTTATTATTATGGATTGTTGTATATTAAGAGAAAAAGAATATAGATATAAAAAAATACGAATATTCAACACTTTACAAATTATTTTTTTTAGTTAAATAATTTACAATAAATGCTTGATAAAATGACCGCAAAAAAGTAGAACCAAAGAATAATCGAAATCGGTGCAGTTAAAAATAGCAAAGTTTTATTAAAACCACCTGTTATCACGTAGCTCAAAAGAATACAAATTTTAATATTGGCATAGCTAAAACCAATATATTATACATGGTTATCATCCAGTTATGATAAACTTTACAGATAATCTGGCCGTTACAAATAAACTTTATTTGTTTCGGAAAATATCTCATAAAAAAAATGTAGTTTTACTTACAATCCGATTTCCTTAACAGAAATATAATGTGTTATTAATTTTTAAAAACCGTAAAAAAATAGTTTTATATCATAGACATTTTTAAAAATAAAAAAACAGCATATTGTTGGCCAAAATGTTATAATAATTATAAAAATAATAAAACATACTACGATTATAATGGTAAACAACAATGCCGTAATTGAAATTCATTAAAAGCTTGTATCCAATTTGTAATAAGTAAAAGAAATATCTGTGCCTTGTTGCTATGAAACCGTTCATTAAAACAGTTTAGGAAGCAGTTTATGATGCACAAACATTCATTAATATATTATTATGTTGCTTGATAAAAACGATATATTATTCAAAACAATATTTTAGGAGATGTAAAATTGATAAACCTTTTATTTAACTTTTAATAACCAAATCGTACCTGTATTAATCATAATATTGTTGATAATATCTAAAAATGTATTTAGAAACCAAAATATTCTTGTTTGCTAGCACAATCATTTCCCAATGCTTAAAATACAACTAAGCATCGATAATTATTATTTAACATTGACAATAGTAAAAGCAAATGTGTTCAAATATTTAAAACCATATTATGTGTATTAGTGTTGGTCGAAACCGCAAAAAATGATCTACTCTGATTGTAGTCTAATTGCGGCTCGTCGGTAATACAATAATAAAACCGCGAATTGTACTTACACAAGTATGAAATTCTATTAACTATTATCATGCTGTTTGCAGAGTGAGTATTCTAAATCATAACACGCAGTTGCGCACCGTTAATTTGGATATGTAATATTTTTTAATGTTAACCCATGCTTGTCATTTTCATGTTCTAATTGTTTGTACCGATAAAATAAGATATAGGTCCATTACCGTCTTCGATTATTATTGGTACTAAAATAATTAAACCAAAGGCACAGTTTATTGAAAAAGAATAATTTATTAAATAATCGCGGCGACGGTGTAGGCAATTCAACTTACACCGGTGTTATGAATTCACCGATGGCGCGCCGCCTCTTCTGCTCGGCGTCTTGGGTTTGCAGTTGTATATAATGTTATAATGTTTGATAGAAATGTTTATAAATGATAGTGTACATGAATCTAGAGCATGTTAACTGTTAACATGTCCTTAGACGTTTGTCGCATAACTTTAAATAATTAATAAACCGTGTAGTTGTTGCTGCTGGAACTTGCCCTAGTAATATTAAAATTATCAGCAAGAATTAATCTCCAATATAAAAGTTGCTGTAAGAGAATAATAATTGATGCTAATAATTTTAAATTAATTGTGTTATAAATTTGTACATATTTTTTACTTGAAAACCCAAAATCCTAAAGCGTTAAAATTAAATAACACTTCGGCGATAAAATAGTTTTATATTTTAAAATAAATAGTAATTCCGAATTTTACGGACAACTGACTTAATCGGCACATATTTTGTCGTACGATCGCTGGTCTAGTTCTTGAGGCGACAAACACAAAATTGTTGACCTGTGTCGTTTGTATTTTAAAATGAAAAAAAGTATATTACGTAATCAAAGTTAACGCCTACAATATTATAATAATTGATCAACTGTGTGCACATAACATTACAGCGGTCCGGTGGCGAGACAGTTGGCATTGCCCAAAGTGATGCACTTGGGGACAATCGATTGTTTTAAGTTCACGTTTAGAAATACTTGTATTATTTATTTGTATTCGTCAATACAACAATATTATGACTCAACAGCGCACAGATGTCTTTACATCAAAACAAAGCCCTTCTTTACCCAGGTGCATACATATTAAAAATACTCAACACTTGTGTTCACTATTAAACACACAACCGTAATAGACTGTCAATATTGTTGATTCAATTAACACAACTCGAGTAAGACGCGCGCCAGACACTATATGCGGAATAGCGTTTGTACATCACAGTAGCAGCTGTTAAAGAAGGTCACAATATCTTTGCCGGCCACTCAGTTACTACTCGTTAACCGACCGTAACACATATCACATATGTGACCATCATATTATTTCCCACAATAACCGAACGTAAGTACAACATTATTATTTTATTAACAGATAGATTTTTCTCGAAAAAAAGTTTTTGTTTTATTAAAAAACATACATTTTTAAATATAACAAAAACTTACTTACTCGTTTAGCATACATACTAAAATATAGTAAAAATGTTATTAAAATAATAAAAAAATAACATTTTTTTTTTTAAGAAAATCCAAGCAAAATAATAATTGTAATGATATTTTCATCTAGAAATTCACCTTAAAATATACCTTAATAAATTGATCCCAGAAAATTTTAATTCATATCTCTAAAATCTCCTGAACATTTGTTTAACATAATATTTGGTCAAACTAAACAGCTTAAAATATTTTAATAACGTTTTTCTATAATATTTTTTAAATTAAAATAATTGTTTTCCTGCTGGGTAGACTTGTTAGAGTGGGATTTATACACAGTCGAAAAGTGATCTCCTAAATTAGAAACTATAATTTTTTTTATGATCTTAAAATGTTTTCATTGTAAAAAACACAAACATTGACACTTATGAAACTAACATTTCTGAAACTAGGATTTATCGCTATAAAGGACCTGTATTGCCAAAATATTTTAATGGAACCGGTATAAAATAAAAAAATCGGTCACTCTATTTAGGCGGACGTTTCTTTTACAAAACTGACCTATAGTATTTTAATATCTGCCCATGTTTAACTAACGGGCGTCAGTAGTAAAATACATATGACAACAGAAGCCACACGCGTTTGAGGTTCAATGTCAAATTAATAAAATCCACTCGAATGACGTCACGAAAATATTAGTTAGTCAAGGGTGTAGCCTTTGGGGGTGACTGGGGGAAGACGTTACTTTTCAGTTTTCTCCCTTGACCTTTGTCGCGTTTACGATGCAACTTATCTGATTATCTTTCGCATAAACTACAACTGTAATATTACTTTATATTACCTTATTTAAATTTGTATAATTTATGTTTGGTCGAAGCGGAAAATATTTAAAATGCAAGGTTTTATGTGTTTTTTTAATGCTTTGATTGCGAAGGGAATCACAAAAATATTCAAGTAGTAATTAATCCGTCACAAATTCAAGGCGACTATTATTCGTCAACATTAAAACAATATTTTGTCTACTATTATTGGCGAACCTTTTCTAAACATATTATATAATATATTAAGGCGTCAGCAGTCGAGTCATGGTTACCTACTGGTAAATGGTCGGCATTCGCGAACTGTTGATGTGTGTACTTATTATGCTGACTGGCCATCATTGGCTAATTGTAGATATTTTTCTTTATTTGACGTTTACAGAAAATAAACTTTCGTGCGTTTAGGACAAACGCGGTCTATGTCGACCGAAAGAGATTAGCGTGTCTTTGGGTAGTCAATCCGTGCCACAGCGGTCGACATTAGGATAATCACCTCGCACACAACCATTGATTATATTATACAATAATAATATAATACAGTAATTATTCATATTGTACCTTTTAGAACGAACAAATGTATGTACACTCAGTTCATTGCCTTAAGCGGCAAGGATTTTTTCGGAGAGAACGCGATGAATTATAATATATATACATTGTTCGAAGAAAATGTTTACTGACCCACCTGCCCTTCTCCCCCCTCCCCCCTAAGGATGGGTGGAAGAAAGAGATTCGAACGTGGTTTCTGATTTGACACTTGTGACTTGACAGAAGACCAACAATTTTAGAGGGACAAAAAACTAGGTGCGAGTAATTTTGTACTCTTATATTATTTGTTGTATAATCTTGTTTTGAACAAAAGAAGAAATCAATTATGTTGTTTTATTGTTATTATACTTACAAGTGAATATTAAACTGAAGATTATTAAACTGGACGCGGGTTCACTTAGTAAATTTTAGTTCTGTATTTTTTTGTAAACGCTCAAATAATAACAATATATTGCAGGATGGACAATGGACTGTCCGGCACCGACCATAGCTGGTTCAAGTATTTCCCGAATGCGATCAAATCAGCGATGTCGTGCCGGAGTCAGTCAGTATAACTAAATTCCACATTAAAATATCGAACAAATTTCTAACCACAATAAGTAATAACCTTTTTATAATACGACTAAACGGTGATATACGGATATACCGGTTACCGCTATATTAGGATGCAAGTATGCACACTATACGCATTAATAAATAATTCGTATAATATTATGTAAAACACAATTATTATTTTATTTTTTATATTCGTGCTTATTTTTTTGATATTTGAACATTTGAATATATATATATATATATATATAGTAGTTATTTATATATCTTATTACTCCAATACGCAAGTAAATATGTATTGTGTAATTGATAAGTATTTTGAATCTTATATTAATTGTGTCAAATATCTTCAAACAATTAAAACGAGTCACTTTTTCCACATTAACTTGGACACTTATTTCAAGTATAAAATCAGTTTGCAATCAATAATTAATATTCACTTTTTATAGAGATTGTTAAGTCCATTAACTATTCTAAATCAGAATGATCTTATCGTGTACCTAGTCATTGTTTCCTTTTCTGAGACTATTGCGATTAACTCAATTGGATACAAATCTATAGTAATTAAATTAAAATAGCTCATTGATCAATTGGCTACCTAATTATTTATAAAACTGATCTATATTAGCAACGAGAAGTTAATAGTGGAAAAGACTCTGTTATCTTTTCATTTTAAATTATAGACTTTAACTTACCATTTTAGTTTAAAAAGTTGACAGGACTCTGGCAAAAATAAATTAGATAAACATTTGAATATTGGCTAATGTTGTAAAATAACACTAAATCTAATTATTTGAAGAGAAAAAGAGTGTTTTATCTTATCACACAAATCACCCTAAATAGTACATAAATATAGAAAAATCCTACCTAGAGAAAAGCCTACCTGGATTTGCCAAGTATTTCGGCGGGCCTATCCACATACCCGTGCCCATGCCCGCAGGACACCTAGGTAAAGCGCCAAAGGCCGTTCGCATAAACAATACTGAACATTTAAGATTGCTCTAACAGTACTATATAGCCCGTAGATGTAATGTACCTTGAGTATATGTAAGCAAAATATATATATATAATTAGTGTTTTCACGGTATTCTAGGTCAACGGCAATGTACAGAAACTTTGTGAAGTCTACTAGGGACGTCATGTGCGTGGTTTGCTGCTACAATCCGGACTTGAAGCCGTATGATCGACTGCCAATAGCGCGTTGGGTCAAAGTCAAGATGACCCTGTACTGTGGCGTGGTATTACTCTCGCGGTTATGGATCTGGTTGGGCAGATACGGCTGGTGGTTGACGACACATTTGCTGAGAGTGTGCGATTTCTATTGGTCGACTTGGGGTCAGGGCTTTGAGGAATCCGACGTAGACGGCCCGAGGTGTGAGGTACAATGTGAAGTGCTATACGACCCTGGACCCGAGTCGACCCTCATGGACGTAGTGTTCATACACGGACTCAGGGGTGACAAATTCAAGACATGGAAACAGGGCGTATGGAAACAAGTAGTGCAACAACCCGAGCCCATGGTGGTCCGTAGTGCAGTATCCACGCCCTCTGAAGTGTGCAACCGACTCGAGAGGATGGCGACTGTGGAAGAGATCAAAGAATTTACCAACTGCTGGCCTCGAGATTGGCTGCCATTAGACTGCCCGTACGTGCGAGTCATCACCATTAGCTACAGTACTGACCCCTACTTGTGGAGACCCATTTGGCTTAGGAAGTCTATCAGGTAAAATCATTTATCTAGTTGTTCCTCATACAATTGGACGTTTCTCGAGTTTCTTTTTCTATACCTAGTACTCAAGAATGGCTTAGATCTGGGGTGTCCAACCTTTTTTTTTACGGCGGGCCCATTTAAACAAATATTTAAGCAGTTAACGCAATTTGTCCGTTAACTGGTTTTATATCATTTTTTCGAAGAACAAACATTTGTGACGAATCTCCTCGTGGAAGGTGTTAACTTATAGTTTACCCCCTACCCTAGTCCTATGAAGGGAAACGAAAATTGGCTAGATTTATAAATAAGAAAGCTAAAAATATTTAATTTGTTAATCGACTCTAGATTTTAAATCACGCGCCGACACAGTGGCTAGAAATTGGTCAGGGGTAGGTGCGTGTTAAAATGATGGATAATTCAGGTTGCAATAATAAGAATAGGTACTTTTTATAATTTTACTTCATATATTGGTCAATTTGAAGTTAATTTTGATCAACAGAATAAAGTAAAAGCTATTTCGTTGAACAAATAAATTGATTTACCTACTTATAATGAATTTCAAAATGTTTAATCATACTATGCGTACATTATTACTGATGATTTGACAATTGATTTTGCCTCTCTACTTTTAACGCTGAAATGAGAATTTAATAGTTCAATGACTTCAATTTCTGCTCATTTTATACGACCATATTATATGATTTAATCAAATATTTTATTATACCGTCATTTAAGTTTAATAAAAGTAGGCTGGCTATTTTATGTCAAATAATGCACAACTTTGAAAATAAAAATGTCTTTACTCTTTGTCAAATGTAATTATGTATATTCATATTTAGTTTTATGTGAAATTAACAACTTAGACGTTGTCGATGTCATCTATTATACTCAACATATTAAGATATTTATACATAACCGCAATCGTCAATGGTCTGACTACAATGTCTGTTAAATATTTGATTAAAAAAAAAATACATATATGTATATATTTCTAAAAACACTTTTACCATTTATTATTATAGTAAACAATCTATTCTGTCAAAAATATCGTTAGTTATTTTATACTTTCTACAATTTTACCAAAGCCAATAAAATATTAAATTAGCACAGATTAGTTAAAAAAAATGTATATCCTTTTATAATCACAATTGTTAATAAGTAAACACGAATGTATAACATAGGCTCATAAAAAAAAAGTTTGATGCCATGTATACGATACCTATTATTAAACTTTATCTGTAGGCCCACGATTTAGCCACGAATATAAAATATATTATATACATATTGTGTGAATATTTCGTATTTTAGTTTTTACACTGTAAATAATGTACAGCTATGGTCCCTGACGGTAGTCTATAGTATTAAATATTTATATATTTATAGTCGTGTGAATTTATTAAAACGAATTGTACAGGAGTCCAATGAAAGACAGGGGATTGGAAATGATGTCGCTCCTAGGAGACTGCAACGTCGGACAAAATCCTATTACCTGGGTCGGCCATTCTAAAGGCGGATTGTTCATAAAACAAATATTAGTGCTCGGTACCTCTTTATTCTTTAATATTATGTACTCGAGGGCGTTTTAACCACGTGTAAATAATAAGAGGCATAAACTATAATTATTATTTTTCAGCCAATCATAATCATCTGACCCAACAAATCATAACGAGTACGAAGGGTATACTATTCTACAGTGTTCCACATAACGGCTCTCCCCTAGCCAATATCAAGCTGCCGCTATTCCAGAGGTCCATCGAATTACAAGAACTCGTTAACGGTAAAACAACTAAATAATTTAAACGTTTGTGCCTATTTTGAATACTTACTGCCTCTAACTTATGTATAGATCGATATTAAAACCGTATCTTAATAATAAATAATAAGAGTGATTTAAAATGTTGATGTATGAAATAGCTACAATAAATTTGAATTGATTTATCGATAAAAGAAAACTAATGAACAATAATAGCGTAATTAGTTGATCCGTGAAAAGAAAAAATTTAGATTTGTATAATAAAGTATGGTAAATTGCTAATAGTTATTTGCTATCTATAAACAGAAACTTAAATGAAGATCATTATTAAAATAAAAAAGATAGGTATTTAATAATTTTAATAAAATTTATAGATTTGGAATTATAAATTGTTGGCCATGTCTTGTTGTGTTGTGAATAATCAATAATGAGTGGTCAGTATTGTTTTTATTTAGACACCCAACACATACAAGGATTACAGAAAGAATTTTATGAAATTATCAATAATAACGGACAAATACAAGTGAAGAGTTTTATTGAGACCAAATTAACATTAATGAAACTGATTTACTTGAGAATTGTATCTGTACAATCAGCAGGTATAAAATTATATACGCATGAACATTTAATATTAAGGGTTTTATGTATAATTGTATCATTCATTTTTGTATTCAAGATCCTGGACTAGGAGATTTGTATGGCGTGCCGTTAGACCATCGGAATATTTGTAAACCAAAAAATCGGTAAGATCTTGCTTAAAAAATGACATAAATTATGAATCTAAAATTAAAAATAATTTTATGTATTTAAAAAATTTTTTTTAATTTTTTGTTACTCTCATTAAGTAGTTCGAAATTACTTTTTATACGTTGCAGGAACTGTTTCCTATACCAAGAATTGGTAAACATGATCCACTCTTTTAAAAGACCTGAATAATTTTAAACGCTGTACAAAAATGTGTGCAATATCAAACATTCAAGAATAAAAAAAATAATAAAAATTGTCATATACTTGTATATGCTTAGAAAGTAATTTATATTTTATTAGATTATAGACTGACATTATTTATATAGATATTTTTATGTTTCACGATAATAATATTTATCTAATAATAATTTTGATAGAAAACTATGGAATTGTATTATTAACTTTATTGTATTATATTATTAATTATATTTATAATATTGATTTGAGTTGATAAAAAAAAAAAAACATTAAATAAAATAACCAATATTGTCATTATTCTTCGTTGTAGCCAGTTAATGTAAGAAGTGTATTGATACGCCTTTTTGATATGATGCAGACGTCAATCTAAAAAAATAAAAATTAAACATAAATTGCCAAATAACAAGCGAAATATTGCTTTAGCTTCGATGGGAAGCTGAGAAGTTATTGTTTTTACAATGATGTGTTGTTACTTTTTTGTGTCTAGATATCTACATCTTATAAACCGCTAAAATAATTTCTTCATGTAGTAACTCTATGAATAATAAATTGTCTCCAAAACATACTTCGTTGGTCCGACATTTTAAAATGTTTTCCCTCACCCTTTAAAATAGTGAAAAACGGCTAAAAAATTTACATATTTTTCAACTTAAAAATACAGTGCTCTATAACTTTTAAAAATTATCAAATTGACCTAGATAGATCTAGAATGAGGCTATATTGTATACAATTTTCTTAAAAATCTTAGGTCAAACTTTTTTTTATTAAGAAAAAACTAAAAAAATAGAGAAAATTACACTTGGACCACAGTAAATTTCTAGGTTGCTAGGACCGATAGAATCAAAACAGTTAACCGGTATTGAAAATATTTTTATTATATTGTCAACTACGATGTATGGGTAACAATGGCAACAAATTATTATAAAAGGTCTGTCATCCCCAATCTGATAAAGAATAAAAATGATCTATTTTGGAAAAAAAGTAACAAATAAAATAGTACATATTTCAATTGCTTGAAATAATTAAAAAATGTTCTAAGTACTATTAATAAATGTATAGAAAGAACTAGAAACTGCTCTTTTGTAAAATTGTCATTATAAAGCTGCAACATTTTTTATTTAAGCCATTGATTTGTAATTTAATTTATGTTACATCGTATTTTGTAAAAGCTTTCCCTAACAAAAGTGCAAGCAATGATTCATATTCTCTAATTGGCACTTATAATTGACAATTTAATCATTAACTTTTTCATTTGCGCTTTATTGTATGTTAACTAACAGAATCATTCAACAAACCCACAGCATCTAAGATTAAATAAAATGATTAATTAATATTTAAAAAATTACATAAAATATCCATTGATGCAATTACCAAGTATTGTTGCTGTATAATATTTACGAGGTAGTAGAAAACCATTTTTCAAACAATCAAATGGCCACTATGTATGGCCATAATGCCTACTCAGAAGGGTTTCTTTACGTACAACTTTTATATCTAAATCAGAAATAAAAATGAGATTAATAACAGTTACATTATTGATGTAATATTTATAGTCTTTCATGGAATAAAATCATTTGTCATTGATTTATTATTATTACTGCTAAGTTATTCGATAGACATTTCATTGTTACATCTTACTTAGTGTTTCACTCTTGAATAATTTTGCCAATATAATATTTTTGATAGGAACTTACAGTATTCATGCCTAAAAATAATTTAAGAATTATAATTATTAATAAATCACAAAATGAATACACAAAAAGTTTATAGAAAAGTTATATATCAGAAATACAGAACAATTTAAGACCTTTATAAAAATATACAATATATTGTACAATGTTACTCGTAATCTAAAAAAACAGATACCTAATAATTTTAATATTTTATTTGGGTGAATTAAAAACTTGTAAATTATATTAATATCCCATTCTTGTGCATCATAAATGTTAGTTTATTATAATTTTTATAAATAATTGATTGAAAATTATTTAAGTTATATGCATTCTGCAATTAATGAAATGCTAGCTGGTCATAAATAAATAAATAAATAGGTATTCATAAAAATAAACCAGTAGGTTAGTTATTCTAAGTTAAAATATTAGTTGAACAAACAAATTGGAATACTGGTTAAAATTATCAATTTTTTTATTCCATTCTATACATTTTACTCAAAAGTATTCTATAATTTTACTTTTGAAAATCGAATATAAAATTGACGTATACAACTATTGATTTTGAAACAAATTAGTTTTACTTATTTAGGCTTGTTAATGTTTAATATAAATTAAAACATTGAGGTAAATTGTTTACAATTGTCATTTGTTTTGTTTTGGGTTTGCTAGTTGTTGCTCAAAAGTAATTTTGAGTAGTGTTAATAAAAATCAAATCCTAGATTTGTGCCTGTTCTTATATTAGAATATCGAATCCATTTTTCATTTTAGATTTTCAAAAAATAAGATATAGATAAATATTTTTTAGTCAATTTTTTAGTATGTATAATATAAACAGCTGTCAGATATACATTTTAAAAATTATGCAATAAAAAAAAAATTATACATTGTACGTACTTGATATTATTTAACTGCAATGTAAGTAATGTAACTATTTGAAAACATAATAAACATTTAGCAAATTTAAATTCAAAGTTCCAATATTCATAATAATTATTATTGGTTACTACTTTTTATTTCTGATAAAGAATGCTGTTGGGACTAGAGATAAGAAATAAAATTATCAATATTCAGATGGGATAAACTATGTTTTAAACCCTGGTAGCACTGCGCGATATGGCGTCCTGTGGTCACGATTTAAAGCCCCTGGATACTGACCATTTTTAAGGAGTTTTGTATAGGCAATATTTAAGAAAAAAGTAGTTTTAATACATTTCGACCATGTCAATTAATTTACCGGTTAATTTGTAAAAGCATCATGGTATTATTTTTAGTTTAAATCATTTTGTCTATGAGTAAAAGCCATTTTAGCTAATATAATAGTACATTTTTTGTCCATCCGTAAGTAATCTGAAAACAGATTTGAATTTGTCATGAAGTTTACTGGAGATCGGTCAGCGTACTTTTTAGATATCTTATTCCTACTACGCATAAAACACGTTTGAACATTTTATAAAAATTCAAATTCAAATTTGGAAAGGGTTAAAATTAAAAATTGAAAAAAACGCTCTGACCGATCTCAAGTAAACTTCATAAAAAGTTCATATCTGTTTTTAGATTGCTAATCGGATCACTGGTTAGACCTGTGCGATGGACAAAAAAAGGTGTGTTTTAGCTGAAAAAAACGGTCGGTATCCAGGACCCTTAAGATATTATTTTAAATCGTGTATATGGTTAAAGCTTTCAAATCGTAGTTCTATAGTTTGGTTTAGTTACTGGCTACTGGTTAGTACTAGAAATAATATTTTAATATTGTAAATTGTAATGGTTGTACAATGTACATACAGCAGCTTAAAGTAAATTTTTAGTAACTTTTTCAACTTCTCATCAACTATTGTCTTGTGAGAACGACCATTCATGTAATAGAAAATTTAAAGAAATAAAATATAATATTATGTTATTAGTTTCGTGGACCTACTTTACCGGTAGTTTTCACCATTTAAATCCAATTTTGTCAATAGAAATTGGAATGACTGAAATATTAAATGATTTATTATTTAAATTTTAACTAGGCTTATTACATGCGCTTCAATTAATACACTCACTGTATATTATCAAAGCGTGCTACTTACAATTAGTATGGTAATTTTATGTTATTTTTTACTTTTGATGTTTTCAACATTTTTCAAGCAAAGGATACCCTGGTTTAACACAACATATTATGGGTATGCTGTAGCAACAGTTGTTTACAATAATGTAATGTATTTTTCATTCTTTTTAATTAAGATTATAGTTCATTTTTGACACTATAGAATTACCTAGGTATCTCTTTGGCTTATCGACATTTTTCTCGATATTTCCTTGTTTGTAAGGAAATTATTTATGGTTGTCATCTTTTAGACTTTTTGAAAGATTGCCTCAAATATAGTCTCAAGTCTATATTCTTTCCTAAGTCTATGTTCTTACCTATGTTCAGGAATTTGTCTTTTTAGATATACGGATTTAAAAAAAGAAAATAGGTCATATCATTTGTCTAATGGCTTAGATTTATTTATTAATTTTCTCGAGTTAAAAATTAAAACTAAAACTTGGAATAGAAAATGATAAATTGGACAAGCGTTAATTCAATCTATTTGCTTGCATTGTGTAGCTGTTGAAGTTGTTGTGCTGGTAAGACTACATGGTACTTAATCATCTTAGATCTTAGCGTGACTATAATTTTTAGAAAAGGAACCCAAAACCGTTAAATCACTGACAGTTAGAGTAATTTAAAGTAGCGGCATGAAATGAAATAAACGATACTATTATAATAATATATATTATTACGTTTTACCACGATGGTGAAGCTTCGTTAGTTAAACGACGGAATGGCGACTATACGGTGTGTAGATATAAATATATGGTATCATCAAAATATAAGTATTTCGGAATTTAGTTTTCATAAAACGCACCAATCATTAAATTTATAATTATTATTAATGTTAGGTATTAAGAAGGATAACTTATGCTGCTTAAGAAGGTACGTGTAAGGATTTATATCCAGCGATTGTTCAACTTTCAGTGTGCAGCAGATATTATATTTATCTCTCAAATTAATTGTTTACTGTATCACATTTTACGCTTAGGTTAGGGTATTTTCTATAACAGCGACCAATCCCTACTTACGTTCTTCTACTATTACAGCTAATAAGTTTGCTCGATGATTTTCATAAAGAATTTTTTATAAATACATTCTTAGCTTCACATTGAATGTAATAAAAAAATAGCATTATATATTCTTTTTGAGAATCTATTTTGATCGACAAAAAGCATAATAATTGTTCATATGATAAAAAAAACTTCTCATACAGTAAAGTCGCTGGTGGCTTTTTAAGTACGGTTTTTATTTGACGGAGGCGTGACTGATTTGTATTCCATAGAATAATCGACTAGCTTTGATATATTTTTTTGACAATAGTTATAGCGTTTCAACGATGATACTTACAAAATAGTCAGTTTATCAAAGAAGAAGAAATGTTCCTAGATTTATGATGAAGAAGTGGATTAAAAAAAAATATATCCATGCAGTACTTTAGTGCTTAGGTTAGAATTTCCTATCGAATAAATCGGTTAACTTGATTTTCTTACGGACGTAAACACATTATTGATCATTGTTTATACTTTTAGTTTTGTATTGAAAATAAAAAATTTAATTTAATTAAACCATATCAATCAATATAACAGAAATTATAGTTTTATAACAGCCAAATGATGGATTACGCAAAATGGACTGTTTTTAACTTGTGAGTTATGATTCATTTTTTTTATATTTCTGAAAACAAAATGGAAACTATAATACAATTAACAATAAATTATAATTAAAATTGTATAATATAGTAAATACAATTTAAAATTAAACGTTTTAATTTTTGTTCATGTTTTGTCTATAGTACAATGATTTCTAAGAATTTTATTCTATGTTATTATTACTATTTACTTTAGGGCCCCTGGATACCGACCGTTTTTTCAGCTAAAACACACCTTTTTTTATCCATCGCACAGGTCTAACCAGTGATCCGATTAGCAATCTAAAAACAGATATGAACTTTTTATGAAGTTTACTTGAGATCGGTCAGAGCGTTTTTTTCAATTTTTAATTTTAACCCTTTCCAAATTTGAATTTGAATTTTTATAAAATGTTCAAACGTGTTTTATGCGTAGTAGGAATAAGATATCTAAAAAGTACGCTGACCGATCTCCAGTAAACTTCATGACAAATTCAAATCTGTTTTCAGATTACTTACGGATGGACAAAAAATGTACTATTATATTAGCTAAAATGGCTTTTACTCATAGACAAAATGATTTAAACTAAAAATAATACCATGATGCTTTTACAAATTAACCGGTAAATTAATTGACATGGTCGAAATGTATTAAAACTACTTTTTTCTTAAATATTGCCTATACAAAACTCCTTAAAAATGGTCGGTATCCAGGGGCCTTTAAACAATTATTATTATGACTATCAGTTTGATAGTTATTCTTCATTATTTATTGGACATTTGAGTCGAACACTTAAGCAATATTATACATCTACATTATATAATTCAGCAATCGCTTTTTTAAGTTTAGAGACAACCTTATAAAATTAATATTCTCATCGCGTTATCATATTGAGGAGATTCATTGTTAAAAGTATTTCTGACACTAGAGCATATGAATAAACAGCTGTATCATATTTTTATCGCATTTCAATGACAAACTATCAGTTCTTTTAATTTTTGAAATTGTTTTTTAGTCTCTCTTCTCTTCGGGCAATAATACTAAATATTTCGTTAGAGAAGTATTTTTTGCTTTTTACTTGAAATTTCTTTTGTTTTTTTTGTACGGAGTTTTTCAAGCGTTGATGGAGGAATCAGACTTATCATTTCTCCTTCAAGCTGTTTCTTATTATTATTTCTTTTCGTTACTATTTTATCAGCTAGGTTCCAAATTTCGTTGAGTACTTTCGGTGGGATTTCGACTTGATTTATTATTCCAATTGATTTAATAAATTAAGCAGCATAGTTATGTAAGAACGGTTGGCTTTTTAATAATTTGTCTATTCCGTCTTCCCTTAAGTTGAAATCTAGAACACTGCCGTCTCGAATTGATTGCCATCGTTGGTTGGATACATTTTTTAAATTTGATTAAAAAACATTTTTATCATAACAGTTGACGATACATAATGTAAAAAATACAACTAATTTAACGTAAGGATTAATGATCACGGGGTTTACCAGACGTAGTAAACACATTTCATGCACTACTATATGCACCGATATTGTTTAGTCAATGTGACGGATGTTCCTATTTAATTATATGTTTACTAGTTTATCATGCACGCCATTTAATAAGAAACCAATATGATCTATAACATCAGCTATTATCAGGAAGGTTATAATATTCATTATCAAAAAAAAGATTAATAGCTTTTAAGAAATATTTATGTTTGCAAGTTGAATTTTATTTTAAACTCGTGTCACGATAGTTTTAGTTCTTTTTACAAAACAGACGTAATCAATTAAGGTTATAGTCTAAACTCAGTTATTTTAAACATAGCGAAACAATTAGTAACTTTAGCTCGTGGTGATTAAAGTGAGAATTAATTTTATTATTTTGAGATGTGCTGGTTGTTGCCATTGGTTCCGCTGTGTAACAAAGTCAGACGTGTAACAAAATTGCATAGCTGAAGTGCCGTCATAGCGTGAATATTTTGAAATGTAGGTGAGGTTAAATTAGAGTTAAAAAAATTACTTCCCGATTTTTTTTAAGAGAACAAAGATCAATCGATTCTGGTTAAACCAATGAGTAACCACTATACTTCACTTCTTGGTATACAAATATTAGACGAAGTGTTTCAGTCAATTATTTCATTTTTTTAAAGACAAAATATGAACATTTTTTACCGACTTTGATTTGGACTTCACTTTGATGCCATTATAATATGTACACGTTTTATATGTGAGCTATTAGTAATAATTTATATCCTTCAATAAAATGTAATAATTTATAAACAGTACAAGTTTTTTTTCATTTTTATATAAAA